CTTGTCATAATACTGCAAACCGCGTGCCGCCAGCTCGGCTATTTGTGACTTCACCTCCTCGCACCGTCTCCTTAGCTGGTCGTCCCAGTACACATGCTTCGATTGGGGATTTTTTAGCAGCTCTCTGAAAGGCTCCATGACGGGTGCCGTTGCCACGAATGGCGCCACCTGATTCACCAGACCGACGAATGACCGGATATCTGTGATGGTTGGGGTAGCTGGCATCGGGAACTCAGAGATGGCCGCCAGCTTCCCTTGGGCCGGTCCATATGCGTCCCAGCCGAGTTTGAACCCGACAAACTCGACTTCACGCCTGCAGAATTTGAACTTCTCAGGTGACAGCGTCACACCTGCTCTGCCGCACGCATCTAGGTATGTCCAGCAGTGCCAGAAGGCCTCTTCTATGCCGTGGTCAAATAGCAGCACGTCATCCACACACTTGAACTTTCTGTCGATGTCAACCACCGCATCGTCGTACCTCTTTGTATAGGCATCAGACGCTGAACAGTGGCCCATAGGTGTCCTCAGATACCTATATCGGCCCCACGGCGTGATAAACGTCGTGAGTGGTCGGCTTTCCTCAGCCAGCGGTACTTGGTGGAAGCCCCAGTAGGCATCCAGTGTTGTCTTGTAGGTTTGCTTCGGGACGGACGACACCATGTCGAACGGGACTCTGGTGTGGTGCGTCTCCCTTACACAGAACTTGTTCAGCTCTTGATAGTCGATGGTTCGACGTGGTCTTCCATCTGCCTTAGGCACCACTACCATCTGGGCACACCACATCTGGGCTGGCCTGCCGGGACCTTCTCTATTATTGTCGAGGTCGGAATGTTTACCGCTTGTCGCTATCTTGCTTCGTTCTCGAGATCTCAAGGGGGGGCCGAATCGGCCCCCCCCCCGCCAGTGTCTTGTCCCGGCGGAGCCCGCCAGGAATAGGGTTAATGGCCCAGATAAGGAGAACCGGATTTTTAGAACTTATCCATACCTTCAAAACTCATGGAAACGTCTTAAATTCTTCAAATTTTGAGTACCCCAGTGCGAAATTCGCCCCGACGGGTTGTCGGTCGTACCCCAACCACATTTCACACCACTATGAACAATAAATGCACACACTGAAATCGCTATTACCGATATGCTCATCCAATCAAGTTTCGATAAACCCGTTCATCATCATCTCCTGCGGTTTCGAACACGCCTGTTAGTTGGCTTCTGATGCTCGTCGAGGTCGGAATTTCCAAATACGCGTGGTGCGTCGGGCCGCGCGCTCTGACTTCGGCCAAGAAAAATGCGTCAGCTGATCATTGTCATTTCTGCCACTTTCGCGTGGTGAAATGGGGTCATAACTTATAAGACGGCTTTTTCATATCAATTATTTTACATAAAATCATATTTCAAACCATAAATAATGTTCGACAGCCAAATAAAAGAAACAATACCAATACGGGCTTACAGTTTAAGGCTCGACATTGTGTTGTCTACGATTAGACAGCTGATAACTCATTCCCGTACGTCGTATGGTCGTAACACTATAATGACCTTTGCTTATTGTCACAAGTGCGCCGCATTCGCGATTGTTGCCCGACGCCTGTTTGCAGGTGAGCCCACTACAGTTGTTATACATATCTAAAAACCGAAAAACTTTTAGGCGAAAAAGGCACTATTCCAGGCCCATTTTTGATTTTTTTGGCGATATTAGGTAAAAACAGAAGCTTCTTATCCTAGGAAAAATAAAATGGGAAATCTTTCAAAGGTGGCACACTACCTTTAAAGGAAGTTAAACGAAAATCCAACGTAAAATGAACAGAGGAAATGGTAACGAGTTACCTCATTGAAGAGTAGCGCTCGCCTACTTAAAAAGGTTTGGCACCGTTCTTCAACATCTGATTGCGATCAAGTTATGGCACAATTTTTTCCCATTGGAGCTTTTTTCTAATACAGCAATACGAAATGCGTTACATCGTCCACTGGCGGATCCAGGGAGCGGGCATTTAAAGCAAATATTTAGGTACTCCCCCTCCCCCTGGCCCCTACATCGCCCGAAATAGACAAAACGTACCTTATGTTTCCTAATAATAACATTTTTATCAGGATTTTTTTTTTTATACTGTTCAGCAGTAGGTCCGTAAGGAATCGAAATCCGAGGAGTTTTTGGATTTTGGACACTTTTTTTGGGGGGGAGGTATGTCCCCTACAGCGTCGAAAACGCCTTTCTGGATCCGCCTATGACATCATCTCGACTGGGATCTTGCCCCCCCACGCCAAAATCGAATCCGCCGCCACTGTTTTAAAGGGACCCTCCCACCTTCAAAAAAGTTTATGAATTGGCATGAAAGTGATGTCGCTCGGTTCAGAAAGAGCGAAATCGAATGTCTACCAAATTTCACCGAAAAATATTCACCGGTTTTCCAGATATTAGACTTTTACCTTTGTTTACTTTTTGGGATCTCCGCTGTTCCTAGCGACTTTATTTGGAAGCAATAGTTTGGCAGCTGAAAGTGCGGCACTTGTTGCGCGCAAAGCAGCATATACCACCGCGTGCTACAAAACGTTTTAGTCAAACATTTAAAAATCGTTAGTTATCTGCGCTGACGTCAGACATTCAGAGGGGTATTCCTCTGCATTAGCCCCTCTGAATCAAAATGCTGCAATTTTGAAATTCAATATTTCCGATTTAAGGCATTTCTCGATGTTGTGAGTGCCGAAACCGGTAATTGTGAGCCAGGGACCCCATTTTGGCTATCTCAACTCAAATCTAATGTTGAGGTGGTAGGGTCCCTTTAAGTCCGGATCATTTTTCTGTGTGTTCAAAGCTGTAGTCCTGACAGCTCTTCTCGCGAAACCTTTTTTCGGTTGAAAATGACAGAACATGACGTCATTCTGTCTGACGTTACCTGTGGCTAACCTGAACCTATCATAGTCTCTGAAAGAAAATTGGTCACAATGTGTAAAATTGATGCGCGGAGAGGTCCTGAAAGTTTGCTGGCGATATCTGCAGCCGTTTAGGAAAAGGAAAGGTGGGGGGCATTTGGCCCCCCTTACGGGGTGCGGGTTAAGTCTTCACTCTTTATGTTTTTATTATGTTTCTGTAATCTATATCTTTAAAGGGACTATCCCACCTTTAACATGGGGTTTGAGTTGAGATAGCCAAGTTTGCGGCGAGGTACAGAAACCTCTATCTATCCAGGTTGCAACCCCCGCGGCCTCTTGGTGTTGAAGAAATTTGTTCCCTTCATTTGAAAATGGGCCTTGCGCAAGGCCCTATCTTCAACATGGAGCGACCGTTAGTGTGACGTCACCTCGTTTAGTCATTCTGATTTTAATGGGTTTGTTCGTTGAAAAATCGCTTAAAACTTGGTCTGAACTTTGTTTTGGTGCCTACAGAGTAAAAAGAATCAGCTTTATGACAGTAATGTGGCCTGGGGAAGGAGGTAATTTTGGGCTGTGACGTCACATATTTGAAAGTTTGTGTTTCGAATATGGGAAGCCTAAGATGTTTAATGAAAAATAAATGCCAGAACCGTGTTCCTGGTCATCCAATCTATAAAGTCGGGCACAATTTAACTGGTTTTAACAACATTTTAGAAGGTGGGATAGTTCCTTTAACCCGGCAGTTGCTGGGGTATTTCGCCACCCACCGTTTGCTGGGGGGGGGGGGCGTTAAACGCCCCCAGCCGATAACTCGAGAACCAATAGGCGCAGCGAAACGCACGAGGCGGCAAACGAAAGAGCGCGACGAGACGCTTCAGATGAGTACTTTAAAGTTGAATTTTGAGGTCACAGGTCGGGTCAAGGTCAGGTCAAACACCTGAAAGCGGGCTTTCAGTAGCATGGACTTCAGGACTTCGCAATGGGCGCCTCTCGTCATAAACTCTGTCCAAATGGTGCACAATCCATCATATAAGGCCTACAAGAGTGTCAGCTCCATGTCGGGGTCGGTCAAGCATAGGTCAGGGTCAAGGTCAGGTCAACCGGGTAGGCACATATCCCCGAAAATCAAAACTGATATTCGCAGCCTATGACACATGTTTTATAGGTAATTTGGGGCGTAGAACACGATGAAGACATTCATTTTATCATATGTGTACGTGTTTGGCTCAAAAAGTTCAATTTAAGAAATGCATGTATCATGGTCGTGAAGTAGTCACGAAAAATTGCCAAGATTCAGTTCAAGATTATGGAAAATGCGGAACGATAATCAATAATCGAAGATAGCCATTTGATTGATCATGGTATTGGCAGTCTAATGGCGTTTACGGCATGTCTGTATGTCTATTCTGTGATTTTATATGATTTTTTGAACATATGCCGTTTTTGGTCGAAAACTCAGAAATCATGACGTCACTAAAACCTCGATATCTCAAAAATTTTCCAACCGATTTTTTTGAAACTTTGTCACAATAAACTTCAATCAATTCCCTACAGGTACCCAAAATTTGGCGCGCCTGCGGCGCGCCGTTTTTATGCTATGGCCCGGCGAAAAAAGTGGGGGCGTTTAACGCCCCCCCCCCAGCAACTCGCGGGTTAAAGCAGTAGGCATAACAGCTTTTCCCGCGAAACCTTTTTTGAGTTGAAAATGACTGAACATGACGCCATTCTGCAACGTCATTCGTGGTAAGTCTGTCATAGCCTCTGAAAAAAGCTACAAGGCATAAAATTGATGCCCGAATTGGTCCTGAAACTTCGTTGGCGATATCTGCTGTACTTTCGGAGATATCGACAGAAAAGGAAAGACTCAGGTTATTGATTTTCTTCGCTAACTCTTTGGTGCTTCAACATAAAGTCATCCCTGTACGACTATTAGTAGAGTCATACTCATTGCTATAGTAAAATATGACTTACAAATTACCATTCTTTTCCTCTTTCTTTTTTCACGAGCCACTTTTTCTCAGCATTGCTCTGTTCTTTTCTATCCAATCCCCAAAACTGCACGGCACCCTCATATCAGTTTTTCATCGATGGGATTATTGGCAACCAATGAAACTAGTAAAAGGCGACAGAAATGTTGTATGAACACGAAATATATATTGAGCGTACGATATGACACATATGACGCAACATGAAGTACCAATGCACTTCAAAACCAACTGTCAACACAAATAATTGAGCGCAGGAATATACAGTATGCAAGTCTAGGATTGAATCAATTTAATTGTACCGTGGCCTGTAGCCGACGATGACCCTCTCGTAGACGGGCTCCCCAGCAGCAGCACTCTCCTCCTCTCCCTCCTCCTCCTCCTCCTGCTCTCCCTCCTCTTCCTCGTCGTCGGCCACCTCCGGCGTGGGGTACTGGGTGGGCACCGGGGTGGGCAGGTGGTCGCCCTGCGCCTGGAAGCCCTGCTCGCCGGCCGAGTACACCACCGTGTAGGTGACGCCGTCGGGGGCCGTGTAGCTGAACTGGCCCGACACGCTGTAGCTGTCGTCATCCTCCGGCTGGCCAGACTCCGACACAGAGATGCCGTTTTCGCTCTCGAAACTGAAAACACATCGAAAGGTGATTAGATTGATGAATTGGTGAAATAAATTGTTAAAACAATGAAGTTGCACATGCTGTTTTTGCCAATTTGCTGCTTTTTAAATCCATTGTTAAACTCACGAGTGTTGGTAGGAGTGGTCGTCGTTGTGATCGATATTCTGTCGGAGAATTTCGACGACGTCCTCTTCATAGGGGAGCTCCGACGGGGCGGCGGCGGCCACGGCCACGACGACGGCGAAAATGAACTGAAATAACGAAAAGAAAGCTGTTTTATACTGACTACTACGTGCACGAGCATTGAACACTGAAAGCCCACATGATTGATATAACCAGCATTGGTCTTCTTGAACCATGGACGGATCTTTGATAGGCATCAATGAAAAACAAAAGTGTCGAAAAGGCTTATTTTTTCTTGATTTTCATAAATCAGCTTTGATTTTTAGGCTCTTTTTTATTTTTCCATTTTTCTCAGCTGCCCTGTGTTAACTATTAAATACTCACGAGCTTCATGTTGGTATCTTGGAAGTAGGCAGTGGTGCACTGATACTGGTACCGGCCTCGGCGCTCCTTTTATACCGCTCGTTACCACATCGGTTCGTTGGCACCATACCCAGGGGACAGAGGTGCACTCTCAAGGTGACATGGCTGGGGTCGTGCGGGTTGGGATGATTCTTTTCCTCAGTTCAGACTTGGAGTGAAGGGTGACTTGTGCCATAATTCTTCTTTATCGTTGAGAAGTGATTTAGGTACTTCGAGTAATTTAAAACTTCTGTCAACAAAATATAACTGCTTTCATGTACCTAAGCAATACTTCCTAGACTGTTCGTTTGGCTAGTTATGTGCGTTGTGTCGGAGGTGAATTTGACATATGCCGAGAACTTATATCGGGCGAGTTTTTTTTGTCATTTTCGTGTTTATTTTAAATAAGTTTTCAAAGTTACCTACATATTTGAAATTCTTCATTTTTTTAAGGACGCCATTTAATTGCGTCCCAGAAAAGCTATTTCTGGCACCTAAAAGCTGACTCGCCCCAAAATTGGTCCTGAGCACCTATTTGGTGGATACCAGCACCAATCATGGAAAATGACCTTAATTAGCTGTTTCTGGCACCTATTCATCGGTACGCCTTACTCTTTTTTCTGAATCTGGCACCTAAATGCTGAGCGTAGCACCAATCTAGTAGAAAAATGAACTACTGGCTGGTAGAATCATGTTGTTCTGGTATAATGACCCCTGGAGTCTAGCCTAAAGGTTGCCAGTGCAGCTACACTCTAAGACAGCCCCGTAGTGATCTCAGCATTGTATATGACGTTTAAGTAAGCAAATAATATTGATTTGTTTGAAAAAAACAATGTCATTTAAATGTTTAAAAGTATTTATTTGTAATGCTTAAAGGGAAACATTTTTGTGAGTAATTGTCTCGATTTTGACCATTAAAACGGGTATTGTATTTTTTGACGTCATCAAATAGCTCCAAAAAAGAAATGTAATGTTTTCATTCCGTTCAAAGCCGCTGAAGAAACGCGGGATCTTGCGTGGTCCGTTGTTTGCCGCGCAGAGTTGTGCGGTGGTTGTGCCTTTTTCATCCGTTTCTTACTTATGTCATATGTGTGCATGAAGCTTTGATTTTGTTTTTGGTTATTGTGTGGCCGGTCAGTCAAACGCCCCTGTAGAAACCGGATGCTGCGTTTGATCGAGATGGAGTCGGACGATGATTGCAGAAAGCTAATAATATTGAAAAGAGGGCCGGTTCCGGTTGCGTGGCATGTCTGTTCAGAGTTGACATTTTGCTTTACTCCAGTTTATGACCTGAGAGCCTGGCTGGAAGTGACGGATCCAAACTTTTCACGTTAAAATGGCTGAGGGTGCAATAATCTCTAGTCTCTACATAGCGGGCTGGTATAGGAGCGTCTTGCTATGCTGCACCATAGCTGGCTAGTGATTCTCTTTTGGCTAGAAATGGCATTAATCATTATCTCCACTGGCGAAAATGGCACTTGACATCACCGAATGCAACGTTCATGTTGTTAGGATACATAAAATCAGGAAGATTACGCCAATTAGGTAGGCAAACGTGGAATAAAATAGGTGCTGGATGTTTTGGTTTTGGTGCTGAATCAGCAAACAGCAAATACGGAGTTCAACTAGACGATCTGGCAACTTTAGGCTGTGTGGAAGCAATTAGGTGCCAGATTCAGATATTAGGGTCGAATAAGCATTTTGGGGCTGATCAGCAATTAGGTGCCAGAAACAGCTTTTTAGGGACCAGAAACAAATATTCCCCTTTTTTTAACCTGCGACATGAAGAGCTTTAACCCGCGCTCCGTAGGGCTATCGGCGGACCCTACCACCCGTGGGGGGGGGGGCGTTTCGCCCCCCCCCCCTAAGATCTCGGAAATTTACCGATCGATTTTCAAAATTCAAACGGCGTTGGATATCCCTACCACGGAACTACCTTGTGACCAAATTTCATTGACCTAGGTCAAACCGATGACGTCACAAGTCAGGTCATAGGTCGGATTTTCACCGTTCACAGGCATTTCAAGAAATGTGTTGTGAAATCGAGTAAATTGGTAAGTTATTGAAAACCATCGATGGTACGTTGTTCGTAAAACACATTCTTTGCTATCTGAGGTCACTGATACCAGGTCAGGTCACAGAGGTCAGGTCAATGGGGGGTCACAATATGAAAGTGTCGTGTGATGCATGTTTTATGGTCCATTTTACATGACAAATGCGATTATGTGGGTCAGGTAGCCGTTGGGGCCAGTTAGGGTTACGTTCTGGTGAAGGTCTCGTCAAGGTCAGGTCAAATTAGGTCAAATTTCAAAGTTGATATTTTTGCATAAAATGGGTATCGAATCGATGCAGCTCGTCACGGGCAGTCTAATGGTGATATTTTTTTTGCCGTACGTGCTCTAGAATTGCCAAAAAAATTAATTTGAAAATTTGATGTCATCATTTTTGAGCAGTTTTTTCGCTATAACTTGGCCAAAAAAAGAGATATCGATCTGAAATTTGGTATGTATGTAGAAGCCGGTAGGTACTATCATATATATTCCGCTTTTTTCGGAACTCAAAAAACTTTGGATTTTTTGGCTAATATATCCAAAAAATTACTTTTTTATTTTTTGGGGGTCAAAATTCAAAAATTTCAAAAATCCGAGATATCAGTTTTGTAGCCCTGTCAATTCTACACCTTTTTTGTCTGGTCATTTTTTTTTTTTGTATCTTCAAAGCTGTAGGCCTGACAGCTCTTCTCGCGAAGCTCTTTTCGGTCGAAAATGGCAGAACATGACGTCATTCTGACGTTATTTGTGGCCAACCTATCATAGCCTCTGGAAATTTTTTTGATCACAATGTGTAAAATTGATGATCGGAGGGATTCTGGAAGTTTGGTGGCGATATCTGCAGCCGTTTAGGAGATATCGACGGAAAAGGACAGGAGGGGGCGTTTCGGCCCCCCTCCCCCTACGGGGCGCGGGTTAAAACGGGATTTATTTGCACTTTCTACCTTATTGTTAACCTACCTGTTTTGATTAATTATTGTCAATGATTTGTCTTTTAACCATTCGACGGCCGACGTAGGTACAATCGTGGAGGTTTTCTTGCTCGAAAATTTAAATTTTCGAAAATTTTCGAATTTTCGAGCATTTTGTATCTCTCCTCACCTCTGACCCCTCCCCATTCTCTGTCCACACCCCAGTGACAATGTCACGGTCCGACTGGAATCGGAGTAACGAACCGGCAGAGGCCACACCGCACGGCCGCCCGGCGCGGTCGCAGACGCATGGAACCGCTTGCGCCACTCATCTCGCTCGCGCAAGGTCATTGTTTCGAAAACGAGCCGATTTCTGGCCACTTTGTGTAGGGTATCTTCCTAAGTGTTAAAAGATGTAAGGCTGATGCCGTATGTGATGAGATAGATCGTAGAGGTATTTAATAACTGTCAATCGGTCAGGCTGACTGTCGCAGAGTAACCGCCATCTTACCCCACACTTTCCATTTTTTTTTTCAGCTGAACGATGACGTTATCATCTTTTTTTACGAATGTGTGTTAGCTTTGTCCACTGGCTGATTCAGGAGGGGGGGGGGGGGCAAATGCCTCCCGCAGCGCCCGAAATCGACGAAAGTTGCCGTTTATCTCGAGAAGAGAAAGCTTTAAAACTGTTACTTTTTACAGGAAAGGTTTGTTTGTCTCAGCAGTGCGTGAGGAATCGAAATCCGAGAAGCTTTTAGATATTGGGGTAACTTTTTAGGGTATGCTCCTGCAGCGTTTGAGACCGCCTTTCTGTATCCGCCTATGGCTCTGCCATGGACAATGGACATGGTCCTAGCTGAAAGTCACATGGTTGCCAGCCCAACGGATACCTTCTCTAGGCCAGTCATACGAGTAGACAGGCAGAAGTCAAATAACTAGCGTCGAAAGCTGAGCCAGCGGGCATCGATGATGATTATGTTCATGCAGTGAGTTAGTTCGACCTCTCAAACCATTGAACTCCTAGGTAGTTAGAAGGAATGGTTGGAAAGATTCATAAGTTTTTTTTTTTTGCTAATTTAAGTCATTGGTGAAGCTTCATTTCACCGTAGTCCGTATATGTAGTTATTTTCATTGATGAAAAGTTCTACATAAATCTTTGAAGTAGATATCGTCGGCCTAATCTTTTTCGTTACACTCATGAATCAAATGAATGCTCCCGTAAACGTTAAAATCAACGGGGTTGAAGCGCCTAAATCGCTGTGGATGTGATTTGTTTACTGTAAATGCACAATATGGAGAAAAAATGGCCGAAAAGTTGTGATAAAAATGTTCTTTGATATATTGAAGCCTTGGTTGGAGCTGGTTTGTGCCAACCAAGTTCACGAGCATCGATGGTGGTTGCGCTTTGAATCCCTTCTTTCTTAGTTTTGTCAGCCTTTAGTTACTTTTATTGAACTCTACTGAATCCAGTGATTTCTTGGCAGGGCAAAATAATTTTCGAGGTTAGTATAGTTAACATTCGTAATCCTGAATATTCCTCTTGTTCCGAGTTCCTCGTGATTCTGAATGAATTGTCCCTTGAAAGTCACGTTATAAAGCCATGATTATCTAGACCGATCCTGTAAGAGCAATAACAAGGGCGGGTGATTTCGATTGGTCGGCGACGTTGGATGTGTTTTGTATTCACACACAATCGTTGAGGAAGAATATCGGTTGCATAATGACATTGTCCCGGTGAGGTTGCATGCTGTCCCAACCAGTGGCGGATCCAGGGGGGGGGGGCAAAATGGGCATTTGCCCCCCCCCCCAAACGGCATAATTTTAACATTACGCCTATGGACGAGGCATGGAAAGAATCGATAAATTGTTATGGTTTGCCCCCCCCCCCCCAAAGAAAAACTGAGCTGGATCCGCCTCTGGTCCCAACTAGCTATCCTTTGACTAGCAATGTATTGTTAAACGTTGAGTTATCATGGTGATGTGTCCAGCACTAAATCGCATTTTAGATAACTGTTTTCAATTTCAAACGAGTATACGAACGGATCCCTACTTTTCGGGTGACCCAAAGATCTCTGCTTGGAGATATGCGTTTTTTAGTGGAAACTGTACCTATACGCAGGGGCGGAGCTTCCTATACAGTTGGTGGGGCGGCTGCCCCACCAACTTGGTATTTTGCCCCACCAATAAGCGTTTTGCCCCACCAACTTAAGCTGATTTCCAAGACTTTGCTGCTTTGCAAATTATTCTTTTTCGCATTGAAGAGCTTTGGAATGTCTGTTTAATGCAAAATATATCTGTAATGATAGGAATTGATTCAGTGTGGCATTGTATTCAACTTCATAATGGGACATTGTGGGTTTGACGCTTTTTGCCCCACCAACTTCAATGGAAAAGCTCCACCCATGCCTATTCGGCGTCTATTATTGACGCTCGGAACAGCCTACTATTAACCAATGCACCCACTGATCACCGCACTTAAGCTTCACATTTAAATTTATTAAAACAATACTTTTACGCATATGAGCATACAATTGGTACACGTGAACATTAAACACAAACGCCGTCAAAATCGGCGCAATGAAGGCATATGACGCGCAGTACCCGTGAAAGGAATGTGAACATTTGATAGTTTAGTTGTACCGTGGCCTGTAGCCGACGATGACCCTCTCGTAGACGGGCTCCCCAGCAGCAGCACTCTCCTCCTCTCCCTCCTCCTCCTCCTCCTGCTCTCCCTCCTCTTCCTCGTCGTCGGCCACCTCGGGCGTGGGGTACTGGGTGGGCACCGGGGTGGGCAGGTGGTCGCCCTGCGCCTGGAAGCCCTGCTCGCCGGCCGAGTACACCACCGTGTAGGTGACGCCGTCGGGGGCCGTGTAGCTGAACTGGCCCGACACGCTGTAGCTGTCGTCATCCTCCGGCTGGCCAGACTCCGACACAGAGATGCCGTTCTCGCTCTCGAAACTGAAAACACAACGAAAACACGATTAGCTTGATGCTATTTTGAGAGTAAATTTGATAACCAGGTAGCACATAATGGTCAATTAATGTGTTGCTCTTAAAATCCATGATAACTCACGAATGTTGATAGGAGTGGTCGTCGTTGTGGTCGATGTTCTGTCGGAGAATTTCGACGATTTCCTCTTCGTAGGAGAGCTCCGACGGGGCGGCGGCGGCCACGGCCAGGACGACGGCGAAGAAAAACTAGAAAAAGCAATAGATGTTTAAAAATGATAAAATGGGGTATGCTGGGAGGTAGAACCGTTGCTTCCACGCTTGTGAATTTGTGATTTTAGATCGAGATATCACAAGATACATTCGTTGGAAAATGTGCACGATACAACCTGCCTTTAGCTTCAGTAAAAACAATTCGACAACAAAACTAGTCCCTCTTTCTGAATGTAGCTCTAGTAGACTACAAGTACACAGTTGTCCAACTCACGACTCTACTCACCAGCTGCATGTTTGGGCTGTTTTGGGTGGAGTTCGGCGGTGAACTGATGCCTCCCAGCCGCCGCTGACCGACTTTATACAGACCCGACGGACGGACGGACGGACGGCGGAGACGTTGGGAAACTAAGGACGGAGGGACTGATAAGGTCGACCAGATTGGAGTCATTAAAATGCGCTGTCGCACACCGCGCTGGTGTGAGTGTTGACACACTGAAGACCTTGATTAGCTACATTATTAGCACAATAATGAAATACTAGCACATTTCAAGGTGACACCCATAACAAGAAGCATGAACAAAACTACAGGTAAATTGCACATTGCATGTACCTAAAGTGCAAATATAGAACAAGTTTCAGCGAAATCGCCCCAGTAATTACCGAGTTACTGAAATGGGAACAAATTTGGCACCTCTTATTGTTGTATTTTGCACGTGCACTGGGGGTGACCCACATACATCGAGAGTATCCTATTTTGGGTAGAAGGGATGCTGCTACCCTCCAAAAAATACCGCAAGTCAATCGCCCAAGCGGCTGCTGAGATATGAGCCTATCAAAATCACTACTTTTGCAAAACAGCTTGAACACCGTTGACTTTTCACGTGGCACGTGCCACGACGGTCACTGAGATGTATCAAAAGTAGTCAATTACGGGGCAGAAGGGATGGGGCTACCCAACAAAAAAGGCCGCAGGCCAATCGGTCCAGCGGTTGCTGAGATATAAGCCTCTCAAAAGCGTTACAGGCCGGGCCGGGCCGGGCCGCTCATACTGAGATTTTTCCGTTATATTGAAAAGACTCACTTCGCTCGCTGCGCTCGCTCGCTCGTAATAAAGTGCATATAGAGGGTTACTCTACATATAGACACATAAGCACATGCACGTTCAGTGTTCGCCTTAAACGGCTCCCCATCAGCGGGCGTTAGAAAAGAAAAACTTGTGGAATAACACTAGGTATATTTGCACAATAGGCGTAAAATCATCTTTTCAAAACTTTGCAAATACTTTTTGGACGTTTTTCTATAATTGTTTTATTTTCATTTCCATGGTCAGATCTTTGTAGAAAGGCGGTCTCGGACACTGCAGAGTGGGAGGGGGGGGGGGGCATACCCCCAAAAATGCTGCAAATTTCACAAACTTCTCGGACTTCGTTTTCTTATGCACTGCTGAGCAGTTCAAAACAAAGCTTTTCTAGTTAAAGATGGGTCCCTTCTACTTTCGGAAAAAAACGAAAACTTTCCTTCCATTTCGGGCGCTGAAGGGGGAGGGGTTAAATTGGCCCTCATGCCTTTTGTACCCACCATGGTGTTTATTTGCGATTCTAAAGTACACATTGGTTTGGATTCTGTCGGGGTCTGTAGCGGCGGAACACCTTCAATTAAGGGGGTGGGGGGGGGGGGGGGGAAGGCACTTCCGACTTTTGGTCCCATTCTTTCCGTGCAACGCCCATAGGGCTAATGTTAAAATGCCAAAATCAAAGGGGGCACGGTGCCCCGGTGCCCTCCCCGTTCCGCCGCCTATGCCTGCTTTATTGCCTTCAGCCATTCATAAAAACTGCTTTGTTTAGGATAATATGTGATGTAGCGAGGAAATCAGCGTTCATGCTCTGTGAAACATCAACAACTACATATGAATTCGCTGCTGACTCTTTCCTAGCAGCGAGTTCTCAATTTGTTGTCTTTTTGTCGAAAGATTGTGCTCGCGACGCTTGTACCCAGGGCATATACTTGTACCAATGCAAAACTTTTACTGGTGCTCGATTTCCACTTTTTATGTGCATTTGAAATCCGTTTTCTGACTCACTAAAATGTCGAACGGTATTGTGTGAACAATATGAGCTTTGTAAAATTGTGATGTCCCTTTTCATGTCTCCGAGCTTTCACTTCCGTTTTATGTTTCTCTCACTTGCATATAGAGGCTGACGCTGCGAACAATTTCACGAGCGCGCTTAATGTTTTTTTTTTGCCTGGGAGTGGGCACTGGGCAGTGTTCTAAAATAATCAAAACACGTACTTAGGTATACCTAATCTTGCCAAAAACCACGGTGACTATAAATACCAAAAACCAAGGCGATAAATGCTGCTGTTGGCGTCACGAGAAATTGGCGCAGGCCTGCTGAATGCTGAGGGCTGTTCACGACGTCGGTTTATGTGGTTTACATAAACTGCCCTCGGGGCACGTTCCCGGCTGTGACGTCACACGGCGTTTACGTTTACGAAACACTAGTGTTTACTTAAACAGTGACAACTAATAAGCAGTTGAGAAGATACTGTAAAAGGTGCAAAGAAAAGATAATCTGATGGAAATATGTCTCATTTCATGACATATTGCAAGAATAAGGACAGTTTTCATCACAAAATACCCACGACGCTAAACGCTGGTAAGCAGAGAACGATGCTCAAAGTAGGTCTTAATTACAATGAAATAATAAAACCTCCCATTCCAGTCCTCTGCAATCCGTACAGGGTTATTTTGAAACTCATTTACCCACCTACCAGCAGTGGCGGATCTAGGATTTGAGTTTAGGGGGGGCAAACATTGCGCCGCTAGGCAGGTCGGCGAGAATTTCAAACGTCCAGTCTTAGGAACAAAAAAAAAAAAAAACGAGCTACCCCTATTTTTCTCCTCGGATTTCGGGATTTTTTTTGATTTTTTACATTTTTATCAGTCCGGCTAAGCCAGGGCAGCGCAAAAAAAATTGCAGCCACCCTGACTCCGGGAGATAGTTAGAGAATAGCTCACCGGCGCTATGGACGGTCCGTCCTCTACCTCCCGCATCATCTCGGCAAGACCTCGTCCGAAAGGTCCGCCCGCGCCGGTTCTCAAGGGCTTCTGTATCCGGAGACCGATAAGGGTCGCAGCAGCAGGTTCATGTGTAAATGCCCACGACCAAAGGCCACATCAGCGTACCTGCGATACTATACGCAGTCAGGGTTGCCATGTAGTTAAACGTATTAACAGTTGTTTCCGGTAATAGAAAATGAGATCAGTCGATTAAGAATCCCAACAAGAAATAGACGAAGAACAGCGCATTTGTTTTCGGTCCTGCATTTATTGATGCAATTACAATGAACATTCCTTAGCTTTGGGACTAAACTTCGCGAGCTAGCAAAATTATACAATAAGTGTTACTTTCGAGAGGAGATAAACGATGCTTCTACAGACTACATAGGACCACAGCGCAACAGCCAACGGAATCACACTGAACAGCGTTAAGTTCCCACAACATACTGAGCTTCTCCAACACCTCGCAAACCAAAAGCTCTGACTGAGCCTTTCTGTGTTTGTCCCCGTTAGATAACGGCATGGCTCATGAAAAAGCCGCGATTGGTAATCTTCTTTACGTTATTCCTCTCAGAAACCTATCTCGCACTTGTTCTCAAAGGCACGCAGTACACCGTTCTTTCTGGCCATCACTTGCCGGGGTTACATGAGCAAGTAAATGCGTATCAGGAACGGATTTTCCTATTCGCTCACCATTGTAGTCCGTTTGTAATGCGTATTAACTCTGCTCATGTAACCCCGAGCACTGAGTGACACAGCGGCAGTAGCTCAACCATATCGTTCACTCAACCAGTTCTATCTCGCCTGCCATGTTACAGCTACCACCAGCGCAGCTTTACTTCACATTTCACAGCGTCTGACTGCCACATTGTTTACCCATCACTACACTTTTTTCAGCTCCTACACCCATGCTATCTAGCAATAAAATACCAGTATAACGCCTTTTGGGGCGACTAACGGAGCGAGCGAGAGGGTGGGCCTTGCACGTGCGAAATTGCGAGGGGGTACCTCCAACTGACTTCTGCATGGCACCCTACTAACCGGTCTCTAGCGATGTGCCAAATTTGGGCACAATCGGCCCACCCGTTCTTGAGATCTGGAAGCGGCACCCTGCACGTGCACACGTGCAAAATGGGTCCCAACTGACTTGTGCACGGCACCCTACTAACCGGTCCCTAACTGTGTACCAAATTTGAGAGTAATTGGTCGAGCCGTTCTCGAGATCTGGAAACGACCCCTGCACGTGCGCACGTGCAGCAGCGCCCCAACTCTGGCACATGGATATGCAGTGCCTAGTGGGTGCCCAACTACATGCCAACTTTCAGCGCAATCGGCCGAGTAGTTACCGAGATATTGCAACAATTACGAAACGGACACCTCTTCGTTTTGCACGTGGCACGTGCATAAGGGGTCACCCACATGCATCAGGAATATGTAGTATTGTAGTCCAATACTTGGTAGAAGGAATGAAGCTACCCTACAAAAATTACCGCGTGTAAATCGGTCAAGTGGTTGCTGAGATATATGTAAGCCTCGCAAAAGCGTGACCACGGCCGGCCGGCCGGCCGGCCGCTCATACTCAGAAATTTCCGTTAATCTAAGGAAAGACTACGCTCGCTTCGCTCGCTCCGTAATTATGCAAACACTTCTTATATACCCATGCAAACCCACCACTGTCCAACCGCTCACCAGTGTGGTGAGCCTTGACCCCACTGGCGTCTGGCGGTCTGCTGTTGACGGTTTGTTTACTTGGTTCAAGGTTTCAATAAATCGCGTTATTTTTTTTTTGGTAGCAGTAGCAGTAGTAGCACTGCTGATGGATGATGGACTGACATTCATGGGGCGGAGGACTTTTTATCAGCTCACAACTTAATATCACGAATATGACAACCTTCTAGTCCTCCATTTATTTCACATGTTCTTTTCAAACACCATATTTTTAGTATTCAAGTTGTAGTTTTTTTAGGGGGGGCAAAAAGATATGTTTGCCCAGAGGTTTTCCGTTTAGGGGGGGCAATTGCCCATTTTGCCCCAACGTAGATCCGCCACTGCCTACCAGCCCCTGAACTGTCCGAATTCAATTTCCTAACTCACAACTCGCCTCACGAGTTTGCCGCACATCGCCATCATTGTCACATAAACGCGTTTACGCGCCATGTTGATGCTCTGAGGCATCAACCGCATAAACGGTTTACGGCGGAGGTCTGACGTCATTGACGAGATGTGACGTCAGGATCAGGTCGACGCTGATTGGTCCTTCAAAAAATAAACATGTTTACGGTTTATTAAACGGGATAACCCAACGTCGTGAACAGCCCTCTGATATCATGGTGTGAACACTTTCGGGAGTTAGAGAAAGCATTTATGAAATAGATATTAGTATTTGACAAATAAATCATACTTTTACATCAAAGTGCTCCCGAATCTTACGAAAGAATCCTAAAACAATATATTTATTCAAGAGGTTTCCTCAGAACAGGTACACTATTCACATCATGACGTCTTCGAAACCGAACACGTTTCAGGTATGCTAGTAACCACGGTCATACTATAGTAACGACACGGTCGTCAAGTTAGATGTAAGTGAATCCTAATCTATAATCTAAGATTCGGAATCAGGTGAGCCCCTACGATTTGGACCAAACTTGGTCAGTGGATAGTACGTAACGTACTGATTACGATGCACCCAAAATCTAAGCTCGGCCCGCCATATTTACGAAGTTACGGATGTTTGAATTTCAAGGTCATTCGGGAGAGCCCCTACGATTTCCGTCAAAATTTGTGTACGGACACCCTAGATGCTCCTCATTACGAATATCACAAAATTTAAGCTCGGCCCGCCATATTTACGAAGTTACGGAGGTTTGAATTTCAAGGTCATTTGGTTGAGCCCCTGCGATTTCCGTCAAAATTGGTATACGGACATATTACATCCTCCTCATTAGGGGAGAGTGGGGTGGGTTGTATCAGTTTTTACTCCGAGACCCATAACCTCGTAACTATCCGTGATAAACTCATTATTTCCATACCATCCCCTTCCTTGATTCTTCTGCTTTTTTGTGCAAAGTAACTTTTCCGCTACCTCTACCAGTTTTTCTTCTACGGTCTCCCGAATAAAACAATGTTTTTGATACAACTTGCCCCATGGCTTGGGTGAGTTGTATCACATGGTGGGGTAATTTGTATCACTATTTCACGTTTCAGGGAGTGTGCTTGCTACTGGTTTTGAACATAACAACAACATTAAATGGGGTTAATACAATGTATAGGTATGCTCAAAGGCTTCACTTTATTAGACCAAACTTAGGTCAATGCAATCCGAACGAAACATCAACAGACTAGACGCAAAAGTGGCCCGTTAACCCGCGCCCCGCTGGGGGGGGGGGGGGGCAGAATCTGCCCCCTCCCGTTTTTCGCCAATAACTTCTAAACGCGTTACGCCAGCGACGTCAAACTTTCAGTACCTTATCATACATCAATTTGACACATTCCCTGTAAATTTGAGCAAAATCCGTCGGAAAGTTTTTGAGAAATTGACGTTTTAGTGACGTCATGTTCGCCATTTTCGCCTCAAAAACGGCAAAATTTCAAACGCCGCTAACATCTTCATTTTTAAAGGAATCAAGACGTAACAAAAAAGGTTATACGTGATTCTACTTTGTCTATCAAATGGCTATCTCGGTTTTTTGAAAATTTTGGTTTTTGGCCAAAATTTTTCCAAAAAACTGACCTTTTTGGGAAAATATTTATAAAATCCAAAATTTTGAGTTTATAAAAAAACGGAATATATGTCAAAGAAGTGGTCTATATGCACCTACATACCAATTTTTAGAAGAATCGGTTCAAAAATGTGGGAGTTATTCAAAATTTTATGACGTCACGACACACACAAATTTTGAAAAATGATTTTTTTGGAAGTTCTAGACCTCGTACGGAAACAAAAATAGCACCATTCGATTCGCCGTGAAAAACTGCATCGAATAGACACCTTTTTAGGCCTTAACAACCAACTTCAAAATTTGACCTCACTTGACCTGACCTTGACCTGACCTCGACCTGAAATTCATCCAGAGGTGGTCCATATCACTTATTGAGTGTGCCTATTGAATTCTATGAGTAAAATGACCCATAAAACATGTGTCGCACATGCCCTTTTCTATATTTTGTTTTTGGTGACTTGACCTGACCTGACCTGACCTTGACCTTGACCTTTGAATGACATTGTGTGCAATGAATATTGTCTTGGTAGTCTAAGAACACGTTTTGGGCAATCAGTCTCAGTCCATTCTTCGGCAACTACGGTGCAAGGCCGATACTGTAGAAACTTGTATTTTGTACCCTTGACCTGACCTTGACCTGACCTCTGACCTACTTAAGCAAAAAAATTTGGGCTCTTAAGATCCGCCTTGTTGAGAGCTTTCGATTGCCGTTTTCCCCGTCTTTCTACGACCATCGGTTCGGAAGTTAGACAGGGGGGGCAGAATCTGCCCCCCCCCCCCATCAGGGCGCGTATGGCTGAATAGCCCAGCGGGGCGCGGGTTAAGAGCAAAGAAGCCAACACATTGTGCCGAAATGGAACGAGCATTGACTAGCTACCTACAAACGCGAGCCAGGGCTTAGCTTTCGCGATCAAAAGCAACATACCCATACATACATACATACATACATGGTACAACATACCCCACCCGGCTCTGATACAACATATACCTAGCCGCCATCTTGGAAAAAACATCCTCGTGCTAAAAAACAGCGGACAGCTGGAGAAATCCGTTTTCACTCACGCAGTCTTAGAACCTACCCTCACCACCGCTACGGAGATCTTTCAAACTCGTGCACATCTAAATGCCCAGAACACACATTTTCTTGCAACTTATTTTTTTAGAATGACATTAAAAAAACATAAAATCGGCTCTCACCTCGAGACGCGTCCACTCAGCCACAAGACAGAACAGGGAAAGATGGCGCCCGGAAAACCTCGTCGGCTGGTCGTGTCGCGAGCGCCATCCATTGGATAAGTTTGGCACAATTCGCCCTGATACAACTTGGACATGATACAACTCTCCCCGCTCTCCCCTACAAATATCATAAAAGTTAAGCTCGGCCCGCCATATTTTTCAAGTTACGGAGTCACAAAGTTACGGAATTTCAAGGTCATTCGGAGAGCCCCTCCGATTTTCGTCAAAATTTGTATGCGGACACATTACATGCTCCTCATTACGAATATCGTAAAAGCTAAGCTCGGCCCGCACTATTTCAAAAGTTAGAGATGTTTGAATTTCAGTGAGTTTCAAACGTCAGTAACTTTTGAAATAGTGCGGGCCGAGCTTAGCTTTTACGATATTCGTAATGAGGAGCATGTAATGTGTCCGCATACAAATTTTGACGAAAATCGGAGGGGCTCTCCGAATGACCTTGAAATTCCGTAACTTTGTGACTCCGTAACTTGAAAAATATGGCGGGCCGAGCTTAACTTTTATGATATTTGTAATGAGCAGGATGTAATGTGTCCGTATACCAATTTTGACGGAAATCGCAGGGGCTCACCCAAATGACCTTGAAATTCAAACCTCCGTAACTTCGTAAATATGGCGGGCCGAGCTTAAATTTTGTGATATTCGTAATGAGGAGCATCTAGAGTGTCCGTACACAAATTTTGACGGAAATCGTAGGGGCTCTCCCGAATGACCTTGAAATTCAAACATCCGTAACTTCGTAAATATGGCGGGCCGAGCTTAGATTTTGGGTGCATCGTAATCAGTACGTTACGTACTATCCACTGACCAAGTCTGGTCCAAATCGTAGGGGCTCACCTGATTCCGAATCTTAGATTATAGATTAGGATTCACTTACATCTAACTTGACGACCGTAGTAACGACGGCCTGCCAAAAACAACACACGACAAAAGAAATACTTTCTGGTTGCCTTACTATGATTCTGAATATGTTTGTGTTTCAATTGTAGAGTGATCGTTCGTTGCTTTTTGTTGCATTTGTAACGCACTTTGGCTTATTTTCATTTGTGTTGCAAGCACATGCATCTGACAAGCCGACGCGTGATCTATATGAAACATGACAGTAGGTAGCTAATAGGCCTAATAGGTATAATCAACGATTGTTTAGCTCATTTTTGCTAACTAACTGAACTAAGCACTCGTTCACAATTTGTTTTCGTTGCCTTTTCAGTTAAACAAGTTGTGCTCCGAAAGTCCGTCTTGTCGAAAACTTTCTCCTGGTGTTTTCCCCGTTTTTCTACAACCGAAGTTCGATGGGGAAGGCAGAATCTGCCCCCAACCACCCAGCGTGGCGTGTTCCGCTGAATAGCCCAGCGGGGCGCGGGATAACAGTGAATGAATGAAAAAAAATGATAGATAATGACTAAAAATACCGACGTGCTTGCGCATCGCAAAGTGTTCTCGACACGCCCACGCATGACCCCGGGAAGTGTTTGGAGTGACAACTTTTTCCTTGTGATAATCATCAGACCACAGATGACGAGACGTTGAATCATCACAAACAGTGTTACATTGATATCGCAGCTTTAGGTACATCCCTTGTTTGACATTCTTTGATAACTGCCGCGATTCCGTTTCCGTTATCCTCAATCCACAGTCCACTTGACACAGTATCCAAGCCATGGTGAAAGCTGAACTCGCATAGGCCCGTTTGACCGACAGCTTATGCATATGTAGATTGTGGGTGCTTGGTAGTGTCTCGCAGTCTGGCTAGTTGCGAGCCATATACAGCTGACAAGTTGTCTGTAAGACAACTTGGACTTTGGAGTCTCAAGTGCACGGTTTGATATCACGGTGAGAATGCGGGCCTTTACGATTGAGTTTCGCCCGTAGAGTAGGTATTGCCAATCCACCGTCTTCGGTTGTTGGGTTGACTGTGAGGGAATACCAAAACTGATGTTTACGAATTTGGTATATTTGTCATAATTGTGCACTCTTTACCTACGAGTCCAGTGCCCGTTTGTCATTGTAAAACCTGCGGCTCTGCGGCTCAGTCCGCTCGGATGAGCAATTGAGCATGTATCTGTGATATCAGGCGGCAGACGACCGGCACTCCTGTGTAGCGCGCCCCGCTGAGCCCACAGTCCGCCCTCCCGCCAGCCGGCCCGACCGCCGCGCCAGCCGGCCCGACCGCCGCGCCAGCCGATCATCTCGGCAGTGTGTTTGCATTCGTGACGTCAGGCCCGCGGCTCGGCCAGAGGCGTTCCCAGGCAGCACTGTGAAGAGAGCTCCCAACCTGTTATCTGATACTGCAGCCGCTCATCAGTGCTCCCCTTTTCACCCATCACAGAATACTGCTCTCGTCTGGCGCCCCGCCCGCGGCTGGTGCGTATTACCTCCCTAGTTCATCAGCCTGGCGCCGCCCGTGCCCCAGTGACCGCCGAGCAGCGGCAGCGGCGGCCGACAGCTGATCAGTGCGAGTCGAGCGGCAGGCGGCGGCGGCGCTCCGTCGGTGGTGATACCCAGTGGGGGCGGGGCGCGGCACGCCCGTAAACCGAGCAGGGCTGTGCTGTGTGGAGCGCGGTGTGAGTGTGTGGAGGAGCGCGGTGTGGTGAGACTGGGATAGTGTGGAAGGCGCAAGCTGAGGCTGAGCGGCAGTGAGTTGAGAGGTTCGTATCGTCAGACTACGTCAGGAGCCGTCGGCCGGCCGTGCCCGCCCCGCTATCGTTGGCTGTGGGGCCTCGTGCGTCGCCGCCGGCGCTCCCCCATCCCCCCCTCCGCCGGCACCGACGAGGTGACGTCATTGGAGCAGAGGCGGTGTCAGGCGAGGACTTGGGGTCACTCCGAGATCGACAGATCCCTCTGAGGACGAGCATAGACTAACGGCTGGACCGGCTGGCACGGCGACCTTCTGCCGACCTCCCCCGCCCCGCCCACCCCACTCCGACCATGGAGCCGCCGGAGGAGGAGATCCTGGGCGCCATCAACCTGATGATCCTCGGCGAGGGCGCCGTCGGCAAGTCATGCATGCTGCAGACCTACTGCGGTGACGCGGTCGAGTCGGTGCGTAGTGCCACGATCGGCGTGGACGTTAGCACGCGCATCTGCTGCGTGCGCGGCCTGCCTGTCAAGCTGCAGTTTTATGACACAGCGGGCTCGGAGCGGTTCCGTCCGCTCATCCGGCAGCAGTACACGCGCGCACACGGCGTGCTGCTGGTATTCGACTTCACCCAGCGTGACACGTTCCAGCGTCTGGAGGGCTGGCTGAAGGAGCTGCGAGCCGCCGCTCGACAAAATCCCATCATCATGCTGGCCGGGAACAAGGCCGAGCCGGAGCTGGCAGAGCGGCGCACCGTCTCCGTCCAGGAGGCAGACGCGTTCGCTAACCAGCAGGGCATCTCCTTCCGCACGCTGAGCGCCTTCAACGTGGCGCAGGTGTGCTCAGTGATCGACGACCTGGCGCATCGCGTGCTGCTGACGCCGCGGCTGTACCGCACGCAGCCCACCGACACCGAGACCTTCGTGCTGCTGCTCAAGCTGCAGACGCAGGCGCACATGCGAGCAGAGGACGCCGAGCGCCGACTGGACATGCTGGAGGACAGGATGGCCGCGCTGGAGAAGGCGGCGCCGGATGGAGAAGCTCGTGGCGCCGGCGACTGACCGGGATGGAGGAGGGGGAGGACAGTGCAGTGGCCAGACCCTGGTCCGTGGTCTGACCGTGCCAGTCAGTGGTCTATGGAGGGGTGCTGATAGTGCAAGAAGGCTGTGCGACCGTGCTGGCCCTGCGAGGGAGTGAGAGTATGATGAGCTTTTCAAGTCAGGGAACTGTAGGCAGGAGAAAAGTTAGAACAGAAGACGACAGCCAAAGAAGCATGGTAGCACTTCTTAGCGGAGATATGTAAGAGAAAACATGCATCTCTAATGCTCGAGCAGTGTCAGGTCACAGGTGTCTGGCATACGCACACAGAACGCACAGAGACAACAACTAGAGCAGCGGTGTGTGCATGGGTCTAACGCACCTGATGAAACAGACTTTCCGGCTGACGTGACCTTACAAACAGACTGAGGTCACCTCAGGGGACCGGACCGCCGCGCCGCGCGTGGACAAAACAGTCTAGCGGTGGACAAACGTGGACTGTATATACGATGGCCAGTTTGGGAGGAGCCAGGATTCGGGGGACGTGCTATCCAGTCAGTCAACGCCCGAGTTGTCGGTACGGAGCCGACCATTGTTACGCCACGAGGTGCCACCGCCCTGCTTTGTGTCGTGTCCAGTAAGCGTTTCGTGCTGCCGGTGGCTGCCTTGTTCCCGTGCCGACGCCCGGTGGACGCCTCAGCCGGCGGTGACCCGTCCCCCGGCGCTGGTCCGGTCCCGTGGCCCGTTTACCAGCAGTGAGCCAGCTCAGCTGGCTCAGCTGGGACCTGCCGCCGTTATGACACACCGCCTGTTACAATGCGGCCGCGGTGGTGTGCCGTCACGCCAGAGCCAGTGTTTCGTGACTATCGGGTCGGGTGTCTGCGGTCGTGACTGGTGGCGTGTGACTGGAGCGGTCGCCCGGACCGGTCCCGCGTCCCACTGTGATGAGTGGGTCACGTGAGGGTATGTGTGCTGGACGCTGGTGACGGATGTGTGCTGGGGACGAGCCGGTATGATCCGGGGCGGAGCGGCGGATGATCGGCCGCCATGCACCCAGTGCCCGCTGGCTGTTCGGGGCCGCGCCCACCACCGGCGCGGCGCGTCACGGCCCGCCCCGCAGGCCGCCAATCAATAACTACTTATCTGAAATCGCTGGCGCACGGCGGCCGAGTGGCAGGGGGAGGGGAGGGGCTCTCAACCACCAGCCGTCACCGCGTTATTGGCAGGCGGCGCCAGCACTTGCCAAACGAGTATATAACTGCGTGTCGACGAAATAAAATATTGTTACTCTGTTGTCACGCGTTTCCTCTTGCCTTTTTGTCGGACTGTGGAGACCAGGCGTTGTTTCCTTTGTTTTCTAGCCAACAATACGCATTGTTATATAGCTGTTAACTGGAGCGTATTTGATTTTTTACAAAATTTAAACGTGCATTGTTAAACAATTAAAATGGGTGTCGGCTTAAGTCCGTCAAGACTGCCAACATTCAGCCCAGATTCTGCCCGGTTCAGTCACTGTGTGGCATGGCCTCAGTGAAGCGTGCCCCGCTGTGGATTCACCGTAACTCGGCGAACTGAAAAAATGGGGCCGCTAGTGCATTGTGTCTGAGACCGACATTGTTGTGGTCTAGTTTTGAAACTCGAACTAAGGAGAATCGCAAGCCTTTGGCACATTGTCTCCACGAAGGATGCCATTTTCCAATTGTCGAGTCTGGATGAAAGAAAAAAAACGATGATATGAAGACGTAACAAAGATTCCAAGGAGTGAGAGATTTTACCTCGACCTTGCCTGAGCTCCTACCGAGGGTGTCTGACCACTATATATGGCCTTGGTCTGACCCAGAAAAACCACGCTCCTTGGATTAGCTGGCTTGGCCAGAAGTTGAAGCGACTGTCAACCGCGATATTTGCGTTATCGCCCACAAAGGATGTTAAAGAATTAAAGATTTGCAATAGCCATATTCATTAGATTATGCAGACCAAAGGAGAACGTGCATTTTGCCTACATATTTGAATACACCACACACATGCATAGCACTGAGACCGAGAAATCTGCGACTTTGCCATTTGACTCTGCTCTCCCTCGATTTGTGCTACAAAGCTACACGCCTCAGTGGCGAGGCCAGCGGTGTTACTGCGTTGGGGGAAGCCGTGTATCGTCGTTAGGGCCGTGGGTGACTGCGACGTAAACATGCCAAGCCAAAGCGATGAAGGTGGCTCGGATTTAAAACACTGGGAGTTTGGGCCGATTTATGTTTCTGCCTCCCATCAAATCTTACTGTTATATACCCAAGATCAGTTGTCAATAGAGGCACATTGAAACTACTTGAATCCATTGATCATTTTTATTCGAGTTCCGTTTCTAGCGACATGTTGCGATTAATATGCGACGAAACTCTCGTGTTCGATGTTAGCCAAAACAGACATACAAAAGAATGGGCGACGCTCCACAATGAACATCACCCTAGCAGATCAACAATAATCGAGATTATGAAAAGAACAGGTACAACGAGCAAGCGAGAAACCGATTCCCTTTCTGCACGAGGCACGAGGTCATGCGTCTTGGCAGTGAGGCGGTTTATATATACCTAAACTGGCAGTGATAGCATTCAAACTTCCCCGCATAGAAAACGATCAAATGTCTCGACCCGAAAATGGCAAGCTTGTCGTCATTGCCAATCCATGATATGATTGTGAACGATGCCCCAAATGATAAGTATTTTGTGCTCAAATTGAGCGATGCATGGCAATTATGCGCGCCCAATTTCAGCAGGCACTAGGCATCTATCAAAATTAGGTGCCGAACATTGTCTAGAAAGCAATGTACAAACAATGAGACAGAAAGAAAAATGAGGTTCTCGGTATTCTTGAGATTTAAGCTGATCGAATAAGATATGCAGCGACGGAAGGCACCAGGCGTGACGACTTGCACGCCGTAGATCTGAATATGTACAAAGTTCCAGAAAGTATTGTCATAAGCGGTTATTGCTCAGAGCCCTACTTCGATTCATCGTCTCCATATCTGCAACAGCAATACGGACAGTGTGGCTCCGATGAACACATGAGTTTCATCACCCGGATCGACCATAGATCCGCTACTATGAATTCGTTCGCCTCTCACCCAACAGCACCCGTCCCGCCACCCATCGGGCTTCAGTGACAGCCTGCGTTCGGCCAGCGTTCGCCAGATGTCAGGGCGGTAGCGGCCGGCCGGCTGCGGGCGCTCAGCCTCTCAGTGGCCTTCTCTGCGGGAACGGCTGACGGCGCGGCGAGCCGCGATCGAACGGCGGCCGTGCGTCGAAGCGCGGTCTCTGGCGACGGCAGACGGAGCAGCGGGACACGCGGGAGCGCAGGTTGCCGGCCTTGAGGGTCTGCTGCTGCGGCTGCCGGAACTGGGCGTAGTCGTCGATGGTGGCCAGCCAGTACGAGTAGGCGGTGGTGAAGAAGTTGCAGCGGCCGTGGCCGTGGCACTCGATGAACGGAGACGGTCGGAAGTCCTCCAGACAGGAGCCCGGAGAGACCAGCGACTGGCCGCCGCCCTCTGCTCCGGCGTCAGTGTGCTGCGGAGAGGTCACACATCGGTCAATAGAGCCCGGACACAGCCCCCTACGACCGTCATCTCCAGCTCCCAGCATATGCGTGATGAGAAAAAGGGGGTCAGGGAAGAGCCACCGGCTACCGCCCTCTCGCAGTCCCGATCTAACAGCAGAGGGTCTCGAATATGATCCGCAAGTTTTATGTGAAGGAGCCGTATACAAATAATTCAGCATTAAGAACAGCGTAGCTTCGCGAGGAGTCACCGACCATCTCCCGTATATTCTGTGGACTGTGGTACCGTACCATGAGGAAGGAGTATCCGATCCAGACGCTCTCCCAGTCCTCCGGACACTCGGGCACGTCCATGCTCTGGCTGTGAATGGCGATCACCAGAGTCTCCGCCTCGCACACCGAGCACCTGTCGGCCGAAACAGAGGAGATGCGTAGTCAGGGTCAGTCAAGAACAATATGTTTGCCTATGTTCTAAGTTTTTTTTTCTGGCGTAAGTTGACCGTCACACTAAATCATGTAGCGTTTGCACACTTTGTATATTTGTTTGTTGGACTCGATTGAGTCTACCCGACATTTTTGTTGCCCTTTTATTTTACTATGCGACTTATTATGTCGGTAATATTACCAGATTTTAAGGAACCATCCATTTCTAATACGGATGCGCATTCCGACCAGCACTTGGACTTTGCCCTTAGCCCAAAGCTCCGCTGCCGCACCTGGAGATATATTTGGGGATGTCGTTGCCTCGGATGGGCGTCATCATCATGGGCATGGGCTCCGGCGTGCTCAGCCAGTAGCTGTAGTCGTTGCGCTGGGCGTACTCGCACTGGTTGTTGATGTTGCAGAACAGGTACGGCATGGTTGAGAACTTGCGCATGCACGAGCCAGGAGTGCCTGCAAGTGGGATCAGCTGGCGTCAGAATTGCAGATAAGAGCATAACATTTTATTCGTCTTTTACTCGGGTAAGTGTTTTTGGGGTAATAATGCATATTGCATCCCTCCGGCTTACAGCTAGCCAGAATTGCTTTTTACTTTGTCCTCAAATGGAGCAGGTCCTTATTGGCAGCCCGAGGCAGAGCAATCTTCAAACAGAATCGAACCACAGGAGCCGTACACGGGTACCAGTGCCTGCTGCAGCACGGCTATGTGGGTATACTGACCGAGGTCGGCGCCGTGCGCCTTGGTGTTGCCGGTGACGTGCAGCAGGGAGTAGCCGTCCCACAGTTTGGTGGTGCCCGGCGGACAGCGCGGCAGGGCCGTCGTCTGGCTGTGCCGGGTGAAGAAAAAGCCGCGCGCGCTCGGCGTCGGTCCCGGCGGCGCGTCGTCGCCGTCGGGCCCGCGCCGCCCCGGCTCGCCAGTGGCGCCCGTGACGCCGTCCAGTCCCGGCAGGCCGGCCATGCCTTTCGGTCCGGGCGGCCCGTCGCGGCCGCGGAACCCGGACAGACCCTCGTCTCCGTCCCGGCCGGGGAAGCCGTCGCGGCCCGGCTTGCCCATGGGTCCGGGGGCGCCGGGCGCGCCGCGGTACCCGTCCGGGCCCGGCTCGCCCGGAGCGCCCTTGAAGCCGTAGCCGGCAAAGTCTCCGGGGGCGCCCTTCTGGCCAGTGGGGCCCGGGAAGCCGGGGAGGCCCGGGCGGCCGTCGAAGCCGTCCAGGCCATCCAGGCCTGGTGGACCATCCGGACCGGGCAGGCCGGGGTCGCCGACGGCGCCCTTCTGTCCGGGCGGGGCGTTAATGCCGGGCAGTCCAGGACGACCGCGGTCACCCTTCATACCACTGAAACAGACCGCGAGACAACGGTGAAATAGTGCCGCTTTGGGATGCAGTAACACCATCAAAACAAAACACCGACTAGATATGTCAATTTAGTCTTTAACGCATCATAAAGCAAATGCCTGGTGGGATTTGCTAGGGAAGACGTTTCACAAGGTAATCAGCAATAACACATGCCGTATTTTTGCAACTTTTATTTAGCACTTAATTATGGTAATGGTGCGACCGAAAGATTGTTCCAAATATCAAAATCATATAGATAAGCTTCACTAGGTCTGTGAAATGTGATAAACTCACGTCAGTCCGTAGAATCCGTCGAATCCGGGATCTCCTGTCATCCCGGGCGTTCCGTCCTCTCCGCGCGCCCCCTGGCTGCCCATGGTGCCCGGCTGACCGCGGCGGCCCGGCAGACCCGAGCGGCCGGGGTCGCCCTGCTCCCCCTTGGCGCCGGGGCCGCCGGGGCCGCCCGGCCTGCCGTCCAGACCCCTCGGACCCGCCAGACCGTAGTCGCCCGGCGCGCCCTTCTGGCCCGGGAAGCCGGGCAGGCCGTCGGGACCGTCGAGTCCCGGCTCGCCCGAGTCGCCCTGGTCGCCGCCGATGACGCGTCCGTCGCGCCCCGACGGACCGGGGTCGCCGGGAGCTCCGTCGGCGCCGGGCCGGCCCTGCTCGCCGTCCGGTCCCGGGCCGCCCACGTCGCCGGCCTGGCCGCGGGCGCCCTTCAGGCCCGGGAAGCCGGGGCTGCCGGACCGGCCGCGGCCGCCCTTCAGGCCAGGGAAACCCTCGTCGCCCGGTAAGCCGTCAAGGCCTGGCTGGCCGGGCAGACCGGACTGACCGAACTGGCCCTTGGAGCCGGGGAAACCTGGACGACCGTCGCGTCCTGGGAGGCCCTGGTTACCAACCATACCTGCGAAAACGACGAAAACGACTTTGGTCAGTGGACTAGAAATATATAGGGCCCAGGCCAGATATCAGTCGGACCAAATGCTAACAAGAGGAGAGAGCATGATAAGCAAGGAAGGCTCACAAGAGCCCACCAAACTTACGAGAAAAAAATACGAGCGAATACGTATTTGGCAATCTCAGTTTCTACCACAGTTGTCCATTTTGCTTCTTTTGATTCCAAATGCGTCACACCCGCAGCAAAATTGTCCTTTTATTGCCTAGCTGACGTACCTGCTCGTCCGACCAGGCCGGGCAGTCCGACCATGCCGGGCCGGCCGCGCAGTCCCGGGGGTCCGGCCGGTCCAGCGTCGCCCCGCTCCCCCTGCGGGCCGGACAGGCCGCGCGCGCCCGACCGGCCCGGCCGCCCTGGGAAGCCCTGGTCACCGGGCAGGCCGTCGGGCCCCGGCACACCAGTGTCACCGGCCATACCCTGCGGGAGTAGCGCAGCAGTGGTCAGCGCTGAATTTCTCCCTGTTTTCATTCTACATTGTATAGAAGAATCTCGCGACGGCAGCTTACAAACACTACGATAGATGGCGCTGGTAGTCAGCGCCTGAAGATAGGCTGTACCGCAATGCAGCCTGGAAATTGGAATCAAACGCAAGCTCCACGCGAAGCGGAGAAACCAATCTCACTGGGTGATTCGAGTGGGTAAATTAGTTCGTACTGGCAACCGGAAATGTGCTATGAAACCCTATAACATTAATGCTATAACGCTAAACGTTTTGTCGAGTCTGGGACATAACATCAACAGACATGTGAGAGCAAAACCAACCTTGAGCCCGAACGCCCCGAAGCCGCCGGGCCGTCCCTGCTCTCCGGGCTCGCCGGGCCGGCCGTCCAGACCGGGCAGGCCCTCTCCGGGCTCTCCTCGCTCTCCGGGCGGGCCGGTGGCGCCGGGCAGTCCCCGCCGTCCGGGCTGGCCGGGCTGGCCGTCCGGACCGGGCTCTCCGGGCAGGCCGCGGTCCGAGTCCTCGCCCGGCTGGCCGGCCGGTCCCGGCGGTCCGTAGTCGCCGCGCGGTCCGGGCAGACCCGGCTCGCCGTCCGGGCCCGGTCCGCCGGGCAGACCGTCGTCACCGGGCGGACCAGGTGGTGCGTTGTAACCCGGTCGGCCAGGGTAGCCCTTCGGGCCGGCCGGACCTGAAAGTGGCGCGCAGAGCCGTCACGGTGAGGGGCGAACAACCTATCATCAGGAATAGTTTCATCGGCGACCAACTTATCAGTTATAACAAAAGTCAGCATTTTTTTGTCATATAGGTACCTACTCAGATCACTGCCAGGAGACAATATCAGAAACACTTCAGTGATGCAGTGATGATGAAAATCCAAGGACTGATCTGCTAACGAAACAAGGTTGTACGTTTTATGCCGGGGACTCGAAGTTACGTGGATACGAGTAGACATTCTGTCAGTGCTCTTACCGTTGGCCGGACCGTCCTCTCCCCGCTCTCCCTTCGGCCCGGGCCGGCCGCCGATCCCGTCCCGTCCCGGCCGGCCGGGCAGACCGCGCCTTCCCGGCTGGCCCTCCATGCCCCGGAAGCCGGGGAAGCCGTCATCTCCAGGCTGTCCTTTTAATCCGGGGCCTCCGGGCAGGCCGTCCAAGCCCTTTTGACCCGGAAAGCCGAACATGCCCGGCAGTCCGCGCAGACCTTTCGGTCCGACACGGCCCGGCATCCCGGGGATCTGGTCTCCTTGCGGTCCGCGAGGTCCCTGAACCAGAGGCGGTCGGTGGTTAGTGGTCATTTGTCAGCTGCTGGTCGGTGATCTAAGGTGGTCAATCCGAGTGGCAACCGAGTGGTCAAAATACACCGAAAAATATATTGTGCTTGGATAATAGGCTAGCTTAGCTATAGAGATGATTATGACGACATTGAATATTTAAAACAACGTATGCGCCAGTTGGCTGTCGACTGTGTCGAGTGTTTCGGCTGGTCTCGGGTGTCCTTTGAAAAGACCGTCCGTGGGATTCACGTTGCCCTCTCACCTGTCTGCCCGGCCGTCCCTGGAACCCTGGCGCGCCCTTCTCCCCGTCAGTGCCGGGCAGGCCGCGCGGCCCCGGCCGGCCCGGCTGGCCGTCGGGGCCGGGCAGGCCGGGGTCGCCGATCGCTCCCGGCTCTCCGGGCGTTCCCGGACGTCCGGTCAGGATCGGCAGACCGTCGTCTCCCCTCAGACCGCGCAGACCAGGCTGGCCCTGAAACACACGGTCAGCGGCGGTCAGCAAACGCTCCGGGGCGCACAGTGGTGGTGCGTGAAGTGCAAGGAATCAAACACCTTCATATGCATCATATCTAATAGACATGTATCAGATGATAGTCGTATATATCACGCAAACCTGTCAAATTCAAATCGAAATACCGAGACCACCCCCATCTCAGTCACCGCCTCACCGGCCTTCCATCCGGCCCCTGAAGTCCTGGCGCGCCGGGCCGGCCGGCCGGACCTCTTTCCCCAGCCACGCCCGGGTACCCCTTGAGGCCCAGGCCGCCTCGCTGTGATCGGCCGGGACCGCCGCGGGCACCTCTCCTGCCCGGCAGGCCGTCATCGCCAGAGAAACCCTTGGCACCCTTGATCACCCGACCTGGAACGAAGGAGGTCGGATTTCAGATTGAGAGAACGCCAGTTGCTGTGGCAGTGAAATTGGCAGTGGGGCAAGCGTTGAGTCTGAAAGACTTTGTGACAGCTGTGCGAGACAAGCATTAAAAAGGCTCTGAAACCAAACAGAGGTTTGACACCAAAACTCTTAAATATAATGTAGACGTTCTATCCTTTTGTGATAGTGAAAACTTGAAACCAAATATGCTTCATAGAATGGTTGCTTCAATGGTTGCCGAATAAGTATGTATTATGTAACTATGTTTCGTTTCTGTCGTGAGAATATCGCGCGTTCGGCGGCGTCGTTCTGCTGCAGCCGTACGTACCTGGCAGGCCGGGTTCTCCGGGCTCGCCCTTGGACCCCTGGTAGAGGTTGGCGCTCGACTCTCCGGGCTCTCCGGGTGGACCTTCGTCTCCCACATAGCCTCGACGACCGCTGTCAAAGCGCACACCGGGCCATACTGATGATTGGCGAACATGATGAGTGAGATTCACATTTCCATCATTGGGTGGGGACCGACTGTAAGCTTGGGGAGATCGGGCAGGCTGCGGAATTCAACAGAATGTTGTTGGTAGCATCGTAGAGAAAAGAAGTCAAGAACGTCTTACACTGATCACCAGTCGTGATTTATAAATACACTGCTAACCAGGGGCGGAAATTAATGCCACCTCAACTTAAAGGAAATAGTTCACTTTCACGAAATTATTTTTTTTGCAATGGATTTATGATTTTTTATGTTCAAAATGATCAGCAAAGAAAATAAAACCTATTTATAACAAAAGATTATTTTCTATATTTTGATATAAGAAGAACTTTTCAGTTTCTGTAAGGCACAGGCGATCCAGTATGAAAAGAGCATGGGTTCCGAAAATTCTTCAGAAACTAGAGAAATTATCGCGGCCACCGGCATTTGGGCGATCTGCTGCTGCTGAATGTCCTTATTGATCAGTACGAGAATTTCTCTAGAGTTCTCGTAGATAATTTCTCTAGTTTCTGAAGAATTTTCGGTACCCATGCTCTTTTCATACTGGATTGGAATATATGCAAGGCACACATCCTCAACGCAAGACACCTTTTTCGGGACGAGAAATAGAATATCTTTGCCTAGGGTGATCGTTGGGCTGTAAAAGCTCCTGATTTATGCTCGTCTCAGCCCAGGCTACGGAACTGCTATTCCAGTTCAAAACCCATGTTAAAAAGTGAACTATTTCCTTTAACCAGCGTTGCCCCCCCTCTCTCTCTCTCTCTCTCTCTCTCTCTCTCTCTCTCTCTTTCTCCCTTTCTTTCTCTCTCTCTCTCTCTCTCTCTCTCTCTCTCTCTCTCTCCTCTCTCTCTCTCCTCTCCTCTCTCTCTCTCTCTCTCTCTCTCTCTCTCCTCTCTCTCTCTCCCCCCTCTCTCTCTCCCCTCTCTCCCTCTCTCTCCCTCTCTCCCCCCCTCTCTCTCTCTCTCTCTCTCTCTCTCTCTTTCTCTCACCGGAATCCCTCCAGTCCACGGTCGCCCTTCAGCAGGCTCTTGCGGCTCTCGTCTGCATCCCTGCCGTCCAGACCCGGCCGGCCGTCCAGTCCGCGACGACCCGGCGTGCCCTGGTCACCGTAGTCGCCCTGTGACGTCACACAGAGGTCACAGAGGTCAGCCAGGAGGTCACGGAGGTCACGGAGGTCAGCCGGGAGGTGACGACGGCGAGAAGTGGAAACAGGGTGCTTGAAGGTGCGCGGCCAACTGCACAAAACCAGCAGAGGGAGATATCCATCTCGGTCAGGCATCACAGGACCTGTAGCAGAGGCGAGGAAGTGGTTTAACATACGACATGATGTGATGTTTAAATGTCAAATTATGATCAAATTACATCATAAAGTATTATGGTGAAGGGTACAAGTATCGCCATCATTAATATACAAACAGTTTTACGGCAAAGTTTTACGGCTGGCTGGCATGGGTCACCTTCTAGTGGCCCACGAAGCGTACTGCGCCAAGCAGCCGCTTGCGCTTGGAATGGAAGGAAAGAAGTCCGATTATTTGTGCGCCAACGCTGTCGTTTTTCACTGAGGTCAGGATATTGCTCAGTCGGTCCTCTCACCAGGGCGCCTTTGAAGCCTGGCAGTCCGGAGGGCCCGGGCATGCCGTCTGTGCCGGGTAGACCCTCGTCTCCTGGTGGACCCTCGGGTCCTGGCTCGCCCCTCTCCCCGGGCGGACCGCGGCTGCTCCTCCCGGACTCGTAGATGAGGATGCCAGGGGCTCCCGGGTCACCGGGTCGACCCGCCAGACCTGAAGGAGGGCGGACGGGGGATTTAACGGGGTAGTCTGGCGGACAGATATAATAAACACGTGTGTACTGTGTACCCACTATACTGATTCAGAATGACATTGTACAAATGTACAGTACAGTCGGTCTTAAGTACCGCGCAACAGTGCGAGGAATCCATCAAGCCCGACCGATGAAGGACTGCTAAATTTGAGTCACCGAAGCAATTGACATCCCCGTCCATTCCCCAGGTCAATTAGTTCGGTGACTTTCAAATTATAGCAGGCCCTTCCTCGCTCAGGCTTGATGGATCCACCGCACTGTTGCGCTGACTGTAAGTACATGCTAAGGAGCATAGAATGATGTTTGCACGGTCATCTTGCCAAAAGGCAAAAGGTATTCATTGACGTGATCTGGGTAATATGGGCTGTATATCAGCGCATATCAAAACTAATCTGTCTGACCTGAAGGACATGGGGCCTAGCGTTTCACAGCCTATCCGTTTTGGAAGTTCGGGGTGTCTTACCGGCAGCACCCGGCAGTCCGTCCAGTCCCGGGTAGCCGATGGGTCCTGGCAGGCCAGTCGGTCCCTGGAAACCGTCCGGTCCCGGTCTGCCGGGCGGTCCTCGCGAGCCCGGCAGTCCCGGCCGGCCGGCATCCCCGGCCCGACCCTTCTCACAGGGTGACACTGCGGGGAGGGGCACAAGAGCGTCATCACATGCGTCTTGTCATCACCGACATCGAACGCACGACAAGTGTTCGCGACGCATAACGGCACAGGTACATAAAAAACGAAGCGCGAACACCGAGTGGTCTCTGTTTGAGCGTTATCGGTACGCCCGCCAGGCTGTTTGTGTGCTCTAACATGCGTGGACTTGACAGGGCGCCATTAGCTATTTGTACGCCGCGCAGCCTCCTGAGAGCGTGGTATCGGGATATCCGCGTCAGTAAGTTAGAGACGGTATCAGCCAGGCTATCCGATATGGGAGCGTGTCCAAACTGCAGGTCGACCGTGACTCGGTCGCAACGGGCGTCAAACTTCAGTTTAACAGTGAAATAAAACAGTAAAACTACCTAAGGCTCAAAGTTTAATCAACGAACCAACTTTGTGAGATCTCAACGATGCAAGTACGAGCGCCATACAATATTATCAAGTACGGTATCAAATAGCTGGTCAGTTCTTATGGAAGAAGACACATAAAACCTTATCAAAACCCTACTAGTTAATATCTTACATGACACGCGTAGAGCTAGAGAAGTGATAAGTAATAAGCGTTGAGCGAACAGATCAATACGGGATGGGACGGGACAATAAACCGTGAGACAGTATATAAACCGGTTCAAGTCGATGTAGGCTGATGTGAGCTGTTGTGTGCCGCTGTGATTAATCTGCGGCGTTCTACTCACGGTCCTGGGGCTGGCAGTCGTCGCCGCGCGGGCCCGGGGTTCCGGGCAAGCCGTCCCGTCCGTCGACTCCGGGTGTCCCCGGGAATCCGGGAGGGCCCCGCAGACCAGGCGCGCCCTGAGGACCCTTGATCGGCACACCGATGCCGGGCATGCCCTTCGGACCTGGCCAATGGACGTGCTCGTCAGTTTGATGGGTTGGGTTTGTGTACTTCACAAACGCATCATGCACATCCCGCCACTTACTGCAAAAACTGTCTGAAACGTGTCTACCAGCGACTGAGCTATGTTCATCAGGTCACTGCCGTTGGATTAGTTGAATAATTTAAATGTTTACAACCTTTCAAAAAAAGAAACATGCAATGATGTCCATTGCCTGTTTCAGGTAAGGTAACTTTAATACCCACAGATCTATCGGTAGATGCAGGCCGTCAGGTAAGCAACAAGTCCCATTTGCAGTCAGCAGGCCGCACTCCGCGGCGCCTCACCCTGGTATCCGGGGTCTCCGCGTTCTCCAGGCATGCCGTCCAGAGCGGGCCGTCCGGGGACGCCTTCCCGGCCCGGCGGGCCCTCCACGGTCTCCCCCTGGCCGCCCTGCAGTCCGGGGAAGCCGGCCTCTCCGGGCGCTCCGGGCGGGCCGGCGGGCCCGATCGGTCCCGGATAGCCGTCGTCTCCGGGCTGTCCCGGAATGACCAGTCCGGGCGCGCCGGCCTCTCCCGGAGGTCCGGGCGGCCCGGGCGGGCCGGTCACGCCGCGGTAGCCCTCCTGACCGTCGCGGCCGTCCAGACCGCGGTCGCCCTGCCGTCCCGGGAAGCCGACATCGCCCTGCACTCCTGTGGAGCCTTTCAGAGTGCGCGCGATGTTGGGATCGTAGAGGCCCTTCTCTCCGATGTCGCCCTGGCGGCCGGGCCGGCCGGGCTGGCCTGGCTCGCCGAGCAGACCTTCCCTGCCCGGCAGACCGTCACGACCGCTGAAGCCCGGCGCGCCCTTGTCGCCCTTGTCGCCGTAGGGGCCCGACGGGCCGGCGCGACCCTGCTTGCCCCTGCGGCCGTCGCCGCCGCGCCCACCGCGCTGGCCCTTGAAGCCGGGCAGGCCACGGGGCCCTGGCCGCCCGTCCGGCCCGGGGGGACCGTCGGGGCCCTTGTCACCGCGCGGGCCACGCCCCCCGGGACTACCTGCAGGCCTGCCGACAGAGCGGGAAACGGACTCAGACGCTGGATAAATAGTCAACCAGTGGCCTGTCTGGGTCCGTCCCTGGGCCTGGACCAGAAGACACACAAGCTCAGACGCCGAATAAATGCTCATTGTTCATCAGGGCATATTGTAATATAATGAAGATAATTATCTTTACTCTTTAGATCCCTGCACAATGCACAGTGCACAATGCACATATGGTTGAAGCCTGACGGTGAGTGCTGCTCATATGGCCCGGCAAGATGTGTTATGCGGATCCAGACATCCAAGGTGGACAGCAAAATTGAGAGCTTAAAGTGTTGTCAAAATGGCCTAATTCAGAAGCGACTCGCCCCATGGCTCATTGAACCTAAATGGACATTATAGCCGTTTTCGCGACGGCCATCTGGTACACATTTGGTGCACAGCTGGTGCAGATTAGGTGCAGATTTCGTCAAATTAGGTTCAGTGTGTCTCTTAGTAGCTATCAGCTAGGGTTGCGCTAATTGCTTATATTCCTGCTTTGTCATATTATCCGAGAGCATCATCGATTAAAACACTTAAATAAAATCATAAAATGAAGATATTTGCTGTAAAAGAGATTAGGTGCAGATTTGGTCAAATTAGGTGCATTCGCCGGATCGCCCGTCGTGAAAACGGCTTATAACGCATCACTGCGTTGCTGTATGCAATATGCATCATATGAAGGCGGCGGGTTCACTCACGGTGTGATGATGGTGACATTTCCAGAGACCCTTCTTTCCGTGCCCTTCTTTCCCGGCGGGCCGGGCTCGCCCTGCATGCCCTTCTGACCTTTGGGCCCGATCTTGGTGTCTCCCTGCATACCTCTGGGGCCGGGGAAGCCGGCAGGCCCCGGAGAACCCTGTCAACGTGGACAAGATTCAATCAGCATGTGTCACCAGCGTCTCGCATGCATAATCGCAATCAATAAACACACGCAAGTATCGTGATAGTCCTGCATACATTTTTTGTTGTTTTTGTAATAAAACGTTATCGAAAGTACCGAAATTACCCAAATACATTTCCATCATATTCCGTGGACGTATAGCTCACCATGAATCCTGCGTCGCCAGTGTATCCAGCGTAGCCCTTCGGTCCGGGAAGGCCCGGCAAACCCTGTGGGAAGAAGACCGTCATTCAATGCGGGTCATTTGTATCATTTTGTAACATTATCAGACATCATTCTCAATTAAAACACTGAGATGAATTCATGATATGAAGATAATTGTAAAAGAGTTTTGGTGCAGATTTGCTCAAGTTTGGTGCAGTCGTGAAAACGGCTAACAACTCATGATGATATCCATTCTCTCGTCCTTCTGATCTCGGAGAGAGCCGTCAACTCACGTCCGCTCCGGGCCGACCCGAGATACCCTGCTCTCCCTTGATTCCCACTGAGTTGATACCGCCTTCGCCGGGGTCTCCGGAGGGACCCCGTGGTCCGGCCGAACCTGGTGGTGGGACATAGGTCAGGTCAAAGGTCGGTACAGGAGAAATAGGTCAAAGAACGACCCATCTAGAGGTGAGTTTGCAGGTCAGCAGTGTTAGCACGAAGGTCAACGAAGACCAGTCTAAAGAAGTGTGCAGAAGTTCAGTTCTTTAGGGACCAGTCTTTTTTATGCGGAAATCAGTGAAGGGGCCAATGGAGAGGCCATTCCAGAGGTTATTCCGGAGACCTGCTCAGGAGTGGTCTGGAGATCAGTCCAGAGCTGTGGTTCGCTGGCCTCGCAGCTGTAGCCGGGGTTACCTGGTCCAGACGGGCTGACCTGCGCGGTGTGAGCCCATGAGAAGCACTGTCAGCAGTCGATGCACTGGGTGGGAGGGATGAGCGCTGACGAGAGGTCAGCTCATGTTCGCGTATCACAGCCACAGGGGAGTAACAGAGTCAGAGACTCGCTCAATGTGCATTATCTTAGCCGGCTATAAACCTCTGGGACTGTGAAGTGTCTCCCCTCACCTGGCTATTTTATGGGTCCGTATGTAATGTGTGTGCTCTTCTGGTTGTTTCTTGGTTAAAAAGATATTCCGTGTTTTTAGGTAAGCTTCTTCACCTGTCTAGTGTTTGAGTCCATGAAATGCGTTTTTGCCTATGTTCCTGCATTTCCTATAACGTTTGTAGGATGCTGTTCCCTGTCGGGTGTTTCCTCTCACCGGGCTGTCCTCGCGGTCCGCTGAGTCCGGGCAGACCGGGCAGGCCCGGCTGGCCGTCAGTGCCGTTACAGCCGGGAAAACCGAGCGCTCCCCGCTGACCCTGGTCTCCGGGCAGACCCTGCCGGTCACCAGGGGACGGGTCAGGGGTCGTCAGAGACGTATCAGGCGTCACCTGGGATCAGTCGGTTGTTTGATTACCGTTAGAGAGGTCAGGGATAGAGGAGATGTTGTCAGCGAAGTAAGTTTGAGACTACCGGATATAAATGAACGTTTAATGCTCCCGTGGAGGGGATGGGGTTGATAAATTGAGGGTCGAAACACAGAGATATTGTCCTAAACCTAGGTATCAGGCACAGGCTTACAAAGAATAAAACAAACACATTCGTACATAAGAACATTATGTAGAGCATTAGAGCACAATATACCGTTTTTCTTGCTGGCTGCTGCTGACACGACAGACCCCCGAAAGCCGATTTGCGCTGTACTTCCTCTGCCACTCACCGGTATTCCGGGGGCGCCCCTGAATCCGGCGACGCCCTGTTGGCCGCGGAAGCCCTTGGCGCCCTGGTCGCCCTCCAGGCCTCTGGTGCCCTTCATCCCGGCCGGACCGATCCGGCCCTCCGGGCCCGTGTCACCCGGAAACCCGGGCGAGCCCTGCAGGCCCGGGATGCCCGGGTTGCCGATGTAGCCCTTCTCGCCCTCGCAAATGCAGTTCTGAACCACACAGCCAACGCACGCCTGAAACAGACAGAACGAACGGTCAGGTCAGTAGGGCTCTGTGTTCAGCTGGTGGTCGCATAAAGTTGTATTGAAAGAAACTAGTCTAGAATACGGCAAAGATACGTGCATAGAAGTAGAGATAGGTAGGTATAAAAAAGCTGCAAGCATCGAATCGCTTTGTCGCTTTCCGACCACGGACGTGTCCAACTCACGTTCCACGAAGTTGAAAGGATTCTCTGAAACTGAAATGATAGTCGTTGAAAAAGGCGACTTTGAGGCTACTCTTTTTCAGGGAGAAACATTCAAAGTTTCATGCATTTGGCCACCCTTGTTCCCAGCTCCCTAGGTCCCCAGAACTTTTTTACTTTTTTGCAGCTTTTTTGCCCGTCCCTATAGGCAAAGGTCAAATTTATGAATCAACTGTACGCCTAAGTCTGGAAACATGCTCCCTGGTCAGACCCATACCGTTAAAATTTCTCAGAATGTTCTCCTAAACTAAAACATGTGCTAGAACCCGCCGTAGACGCTGTTTGGGAGCAGTCACCTGAGCCGCCGCCATAAGGCAGTCAGTCGGCGTGCAACTGTTTACCGAAATATTCGGTGAGCACGGGGTGGGCTGTCACCGAACACTGGAGCCGGCGGGCCGCCGGGCGGGCACGGTGGGCCGCAATACGGCTGCCGAGCGGCCACATAAACACAGCGGCATATACCAACTCCCAACAATAAACAGCCGTGCCGCGCCGCGCCGGCGGCGGCCGATGCAGTGTCGATGGCGGCGGCGGTGACGGCGGCAGTCGGTGGCAGTGGCATCGGCCGATGGTAGCGCCTCAGCGAGGTACGACAGGGCGCGGCCAGCATGAGGTGCTCGAACCGTAAAGAGAAGAGAAGATGCAGAGCGGCAGAGATGGCGGTTGCAGATAGCAGACCGGGCGATTAGGGTTGGGGGCGGAGCCAGCCACTGCTCAGGCATGGATGGGTTGATATGGAGCCCGTGGGTGGAGCCTAATGGCTGTAATGGCCATCTCAGGCGGAGGCGGAACGGGACGCGGGGGGAGGTGAGACAGGACGAGAGAGTGAGGGATAGGAACGGAAATTCAGTTCCGGAAGGGGTGGGTACGGTTCAGAGAGGGTGGAACTGGGCTAGTCGGTGGGAACTGGAGGATGCGGGATGGGATTTGCCTAGAAAGAAGCAGGACTTGTAACACGCGGGCGGGACGGGATGGACACGATAGCGAGCCTGGAAGGGGCGGTGCCGTGCCTGTGAGGAGCGGACAGGGCCTTAGAGGGGCGGGTCGGGGAGTGGGCGGACCGGCACGAGCATAGAGACTGATATGTCCGCAGCTGCACGTGATAACTGCTGACCTAACAGCCGACTGGATGGCGTCGGGGCGCGGCTGGCCGCTGCTGATGGGCTGATGTGACTCCCCTGCTGACCGCTGCGGGGGCGGGCGGTCTGCCCCTGCAGAGCTGTCCGCCTGCAGCGGCCCTGTGCTGACTGGAACCGCCAGCTGCCGGACCGGACCCACTGACGGCGCAGACTGTCACATGAGACGTCCGGGCGCCGCCGCTTTCTGGGCCACACCGGCTGGCCAAATGTGTGGCACATAGTGCTCAACTACACAGTTGACAGTTGTTGCAGGAGATGAGTGGTATAAGAATGGACTGGTTTGCAGTACCTACAACTCAAACAAAAGACTAAGTTCAGACTAGGCACGGAGTCATCTAAAAAAAATGTTCAAAATAATTTAACGTATTATATTTTTGTAGGGTTAGCCGTTTGGGTTTTAGCAAATAGTCTGTTTCGGTGCCGCGAAATGAGAGGATGAGGGGCCCGCGGGGGGGGGGGGGGCATTGTGCCTATTCCCCTGGCTGGTGCGCAGCAGAGACTGGGTGTCATTCCCATTGGGAGAGGTGTACCGGGTGTACCCCATTAGAGCAAATGACCCAGCCGCTCAGACGGTCAGCCCGGAAGCGCATGCTCGTTTCTACCTGCACAATGTCCTCAAGTGCTCTTCCGGCTTCCCTCAGATGGCGTAAAGCAATTGCTATTTTTTTGCTACATGTAAAACCATTTCTTATATATCACCCGTCAGAAAAAAGAACTATGCATGGGAATTAAGTTTAAGGTTTTTATCCCTTGCTGTACGATGCTGAACTTTTAGTGCGCTCGCGCTGTTGGAATTGGAAGCATTGTTTTTTATAAGAGACATAATCCAACCCCAACAGAATCGCAGTCAGTTCTTTGCTAATTGGCTCGTCACTCGGATAAGAGGGCCAGACAAATAACCCGTCTTACCTGTTAAAATGCACTTATCTGCTGGGCTTTGGTCATGTGTATAGTTGACTACAGAATGATGTTCCACTTTTCACAGGCAATTATTTGCTTGGAGTGGTAGGCTGTGCCGCATCACACGGGCTGAGTTCACAAATTATAGCTTTGTCCCAATGCTCACAATCGACACACTTAATTGCGTGATAAACGGCACAACTTAGCGCTCCGGTCAACTGATTTTTTTTTCTGAGGAGTGGAATATCATTCTGTAGTCGACTATACCCAGGTAACGTGTAGACTTTTTAGAGACGTCCATGCCCTTTTTCGTCCTATTTATTTTGCCATGCTCATGGAATGACCTGTGACCATCCCCATTTTGATTTATACCTCCTTTCGGCTCCTATCTCATACAGTGTCCGCTCCGTCATCACCTGTCCGCCGCCCGGCGAATTCGCGCTGAAGGATGAGCCGCTGTCCCGCAGCGCATCGGTGTATTCCGGCACAGTCTATCCCGCAGGACGGCCGGCTGGAATCCATTCCGAACTAACAGACAACCGGACGGACGGGTGGACGGGCGGCGGCGGCGGCGGCGGCGGCGGCGGCTCTACACGAACACGTGGCTTGTTATCGTAGGCCGTGCTCCAGTGGGATGTCCAGCTTGCCTACTTGCCCGAGGTCCCATTTTTTAATGTTTATGCCTTGGCCCGGTATAGTTTGTGCCTGTTTCTTCTCATTGGCGGATGTCGACACATCCAAAGCTGGTTCGAGCTTCGAGGGACATGTGGGATTGACATTCAGTGAAGACACTTTACACAAAGTGTGGTTGTTACTTCTCAGCCACGGCACATTTTTGCGTGGATGAGCTATATGCACAATTAACTATATGTAGTTAAGCACAATTACAGCTACATATACCTACCTATGCTTTTTATATAACGCGGTTGATGGAAAGACATCCGCTTAACCCGCGACAACGCATCTCGATATCGCTAGGAGCGATTTGGAGGTGTGACTCATGTGCATTGCCAGGAAACTGTCCCGTTGTTATCGTCTCATGGCCCAAAACGAACCACGGACGTGCAGCGTGTCCGTCGGCACTGGAGGGGGCCTACGATCTGCCCCGTACCGGGCCAACGATAACAAACGGTCCCGTATACGACCCGGCCGGCCCGCTAACGGCCACCGCCGTCCGTCTGTCCCGTCGGAGCTGAAACGAGGACCATAAGGTGGCGTATCATGTGTAGAATATACCTGTCACTTAAACAGGAGTATTAATTTAATTGGCATCTTTGAATTTAATGTAAAAGACTTCATGGAATCATTCACCATTGAGCTGGAATGCAAACCGACGTATGCTAAATTGCTTCTTAAATGCACTGTCCCAGATCGGCAGTCGGCAGATATTCATTCGAACTGATATGTCCCCATCACAATGACCTCAGTCTTTGGGATAAATTAGTCGGTGAGTTTGTTGAACCCGTTCTGCGAATCCCAGCCGACGGCAGACGGCAGACACCGGATCTCTGCACGGCCGCCGTGGCCGGACGCAGTGGGCGACGTGCAGTGCCGGAACTAGGCCGTGTTCGCACCGTGCCGTCAGCGGTCGTCTACGACCGATAAGGTGGCTTTGTTGGCGCCATGAGCGGCCTGGCAGACGGCTGGGAGCTGCGCGCGCACCTCCTCCAGGCCCTGGCGGCTGGAGCCAGCCCGGGGGTTCGTGCCGTGCAGCAGCTCGGCCAAGTTTGCAGAGGAGGACCGACTGGGGGCGGCGCCGGCTGTGCAGCGTCTCTGAACAGCACTCCGCGACCGCTCGAGGTCCTGGAAGTGCTTCTGGAAGGCGGCACTCCAGACTGAACAGAATGTGCTTCCATAAACAAATGATAACATTGTTGGTTGATGGTTGCAATAATATTCACTGCATTTTTTAATGTTGGTAACGCTATCGGTTCTCTTAAATTGTTTACGATGAATGAAATGTCGGTCTGAATTTTCATTCAGCATGAAATTTGCTCGGAAATTTCGTGATACATTGGTTTATGAAAATCGGGAATAACAAGTGATTAATATGAGCTACAATCCCCAAAACCACGAAAAAATAAGAGATAGACGGAGCACACCCAGTCGCCAGGGGCCTATACAGACGGTACACAACAGTGCTGTGCAAAAAGTACCACAGGTGCACGGCTGAATAGGGAGGTTTTTTTTTCTTGTACTTAAGGGTTGGTACATACCTAATGCCATTGAGCATGCTCGTACTCAGGTACGGTGGTACCGTACCTGCCTGAGTACACAGGTACGCCGCGCGAGGTACCTCAGGTACGTCCAGGTACGGCGTCTGGACGGACTCACCGCGGCGCTGGTGTGATGCAGCTGAAGCAGCAGCAACAGGCCCGCGGCCAGCGGCCGGCGCGGCGCGGCCATCCTCGCCATGGGCGACGGCGGCGGGACGGTGCCGCCGGCAGCTACTCTCCGGCCGCGCGGCACACTGACCGGCGGCGCGCACAGCGCCCCCAGCCGGCGGCACCGGCGCGCCGGCACCGACGGAGGCGGGGCCTAACGGGCACACCACCGAAAAACTCACCGATTCAGGTCCTGTTATGTCACAGTAGGTGTAATTTTGAACATATAACGTATCAGTGTGTTCTTTGGTGTTATCTGTGGCCGCTGGCGGCTGTAAGGAGCGGTGGTCGCCGTCACTATATTTTCGTGGGCGGTCGGCGCGCCGCTGGCGTCTCGGCTGGGGCGCGGCGGCAGAGTGGGCCCGGCCGCCCCGCGGAGAGGAGCAGCGCGCGCGCACCGCCGCTGAGCGCTCGTCGCCCGCTCGGCCGCCACTCACCCCCTGTCCTGTGACGGCGCTCAACACGGAGCGGCATGCACTGCTGAAGTGAGCGCCGACTCGCAGGGGCATCATGGAGGTGACCAGCGCGCGACCGGCGCTGCTCGGGTGAGTACCCGTAGTGGGACGTCAGGCGCTACCGAGACGTGAGGCGGCGATGGGCTGTTGCCGACCGCCGTGGCCGACTTGTGTGCCACATGGGTAGGAGCGGAATACGCGGCTCAGTGGTGGTCTCTCCCTAGCTGGCGTCTCGCGTGCCGGGCCCAAGTGTTGCTCTGCTCCGTGTTCGATGGCGATGACATATGGGGCCTGTTCCAGCGCATCCAGAAACTTCCAGAAAGCTCTAGAATTCTCCAGAGAGCGTTCCAGCGCCTCCATAAAGCTCCAGAAAGCTCTCGCCAACATAGAGATCTTATATACATACATGTATATAAAATCTCTATGCTCGCCAAAGCTCCAGCAACCTCCAGTAGCCTCCAGAGAGTTGAGAGGTCCACATTTCTCTGGAGGCTCTGGTCTACAATTATGGCGCAGCCGCGCACATTTGACAATTATGAATGTAAGCAAATGGCTTTTGACTGTTAACTTTACAATTTGAATGTAAAGAAAATTACATCACAATTATTTGTAAATCTTTCTTACTAAAATAAAAAACAAATGTTGTTTTTCAAGAGTGAACCATCTTCATTCCGTGACACCAATCTCCAGAAATATCCAGATTGCGTTCCAGCGACTCCAGTAAAACTTCTGGTAGAGCCTCGAGTCAAGAATTTCTACTGGAGGCGTTGGAACAGGCCCATGCTTTTTTTGCTATTTATAGTATAACAACGTGTAGTTATATCAAACGATTTTCTGTTGATAGTTTTGATCTAATCATTACTTAAAAGTTAAATATATAAGCCGAATGCACACACGTAGTTTGCCAGCATAGCTTCGTTGCTAGGTCATTTGTTCTGCGTTTGATGTATAAGTTACATTAATGCTATTCGCTATCTCACAGTAAATAGACGCGCTTTCCTAATCCGCTGCCAGACGAAACGGGAATCTCGCGCAACCTTATACAAATTAATTCCAATAAGTAATTCCAATTTTTGGGGTGACGTCTTTCACATAGGGTGGTGTAAAACAGTCAAGGTGTGAAGGCAACAAATGACGTTCGAAAGCTTTCGGAGTCTCGATAGAAACACCACAAAATGAGGCAACGAAAGTGCTGTTAGGTATGGGCAACGTGGGTCCCTACCTATTTAACTAGTTTAGATGCCCCAAATTTGCCTTTCTCGTTAAACTCTGGCCTCCTTCTTGTTATACTTCTTGTGGTCAAATTGTCCGTAGCTCAGTTTTATTACAGCTAGAAGTGGATCACTAATTCACCCTATCCACACCAGTCAGTGAAGAGAGCTCTTGTGGAAACACACCCCTCGAGATAGCTGTTTGGACGGCTGAATGACCCAGGGTATATTGAATTAGGGTATATTGAATTAGGAATGACCTGTCCACCTCTCTGGTGCCTGGGCCACGAACGTTTTTACTACTCTGGTGCAATAGTCGCGGCAGTGCCACCAGTGAAATATCTCCCCCTGACCCTTTCCTCATACGGGTTTCTTGTTCCTCATCGGCCTTAACACGCGCATGACTGAGGTGCTCGACCCCCTCGAGAGCCCCCTCTCGTTTTTCTGCAATATCCCCTAGGCCGTGAAACGCATCGACACAACCCTTTCAGTACTTTCAGCTGCATAAATTTGACACAGGTGTCCAAATAAAATCCTGTAACTATCATAGGCCAGCCGGAAATACGCTGAATTACGCCTTGTTCGGAAGATTTTGATGCAAAACATGGTTCTACGGCAATCCTTCTCAAGAGCCGAGTTTTTTTTGTAAGCTAACATTGATTTGTTCTTATATGAAGTGTGCGATGGGATGCCTATGATAGGTGCTTAAAGGGACTATCCCACCTTCTAAAATGTTGTTAAAACCACTTAAATTGTGCCCGAGTTTATAGATTGGATGACCAGGAACACGGTTCTGGCATTTATTTTTCATTAAACATCTTAGGCTTCCCATATTCCAAACACAAACTTTCAAATATGTGACGTCACAGCCCAAAATTACCTCCTTCCCCAGGCCACATTACTGTCATGAAGCTGATTCTTTTTACTCTGTAGGCACCACAACAAAGTTCAGACCAAGTTTTAAGCGATTTTTCAACGAACAAACCCATTTAAATCAGAATGACTAAACGAGGTGACGTCACACTAACGGTCGCTCCATGTTGAAGATAGGGCCTTGTACAAGGCCCATTTTCAAATGAAGGGAACGAATTTCTTCAACACCAAGAGGCCGCGGGGGTTGCAACCTAGATAGATAGTGGTTTCTGAACCTCGCCGCAAACTTGGCTATCTCAACTCAAACCCCATGTTAAAGGTGGGATAGTCCCTTTAACATAACCTAATGACGCTCGACTTTAAAGTGCTGTAGTGATCTGTAAAAAAGTCGACTTGTTTATGAAACAAAAAGGCATTCGTATTCCTAGGAATCCGACACAGGGTGCAGGGTGCACTATCACTCCCGTCCCTGATGGTGGAGCCACTCGCCATGGGCGCTCGGCGAACAGCAGCTCTGAGCGGGTTGATCTCGGTGGCACGTGGAGTGGGAAGTAATCGTGGCACGTGGAGTATGTAATCTATGTAGTCTCGAGACACCCACTTGGGGGCGGGTTAGGCATAAGTCTCCCCTTTAACCCGGCGGCCGCTGGGCCTCCGCGCCACCCGCCGGCCGCTGGGGGGGGGGGGGCATATAGTTGCCCCCCCTTTACTTCTGCGACGATATCGTCGCAACGCGAAGAGATAGAGAAGCGAAACTTTGCACATATCTTCCTGAATACCTAGCCGAGGTTGTGTCCAAATTTGGTGTTGATCCCATTTGAAATGACGTCACAGTGACGTCATAAGTGAAATTATAGATTTGCGACTCTCATATTCCTCACGATACATCAGATATACGGGACCGAATATAAAGGACCGATTATTGGTCAGAAACTAGATGGAAGTGTAGTTAGATGTTTTAGGATGACAGCAGGTGCTGTCTAGTTCATTTACAGTTGATTTTCATGCTCAGCGTCATCAGAAACGGTCCATATCGGAAAACGGCAAAACTTTATGACGTCACTGTGACGTCATCTTAGGTGCTACAACCACCAAACTTTCCACAAACATTGCCTAGGTATTCATTTGAAGCTATGTTAAGTTTCACGTTCGTAGGTCATCAGGTTTCGGAGATATTTCACAAAACGTAAAGGGGGGGCAACTTTATGCCCCCCCCCCCAGCGGCTCGTGGGTTAACCCGGCCGGGCCCGGGGGGTAATCCCAACCACCGCAGCCCGGGGGGGGCGTTTTTCGCCCCCCCTTGTCTAACTCCGTAAATAAGGGAGCTACGGAAACAAAAGCGATACCAAACGAAAGGTCCTTACGAGACGATTCTAATGCACCTAAAATTTTTGACCTCAGGTCAATTTTCAAGGTCAGAGGTCTAGGTCAAAGACCAAAACCGGCACATGTGTAGTGATCTCAAAGTAAGCCTTCTAGAGGACGGCAGGCTGCATCAAACCGGCAAAATTGGGTGTCAAACGAAAGAAGAGAATCTGAGGATTCTGAAAATGTGCTCCAAATAAAAGGTCAAGGTCAAGGTCACGCTCAAAATTGACCTCAAACTTGGCACTTTTTCGCACATCTTGCGTGCTAACTTCCAAGATGTTTTGAAATGTTTTGAGGCTTATCAGTTCCCTATTTGTGGTTCATCTTAGGATACAAGGCTGCTCAAAGGTCAAGGTCACAGAAGAGTATCCCTGCTAGAGGCTATTTCACTGATTCAAGTAAGCAATAATAAATAAGACAATTTTGCCATCCGGAAGCTCTAAATGAATGCTTAGAGGAAAATAGATGCCAGATTCGTGATCAGCGGGTACAAATCCATCATAAACGACCTTTCATGTGTCAAGGTCAACCAGAGGTCATTCGAGGTCACATGAGGTCAACATGAAACTTGACCTTTTCCGAACAAAATATATATCATTCGACGCGGCTTGACAAGGCGAATGCGATGGTACCACTGCCGTAGCTCTAGGACCATTTTTGTCAAAGTTATTTGCGAAAAACTAAAACCACATTTCGGGGTCGTTGACCTGACCTCTGACCTCAGGTCACCAAAACTATTTTTCTATTTTTCTCTAGGTCAAACGCTACACAGCCGTGCTCGTAATTTGTCTTTAGCTCTAAAACTCTATTTTTAGCAGCTATTTGAAATTTGCGTCTGTGACGCCGAAGTTTGCCGTGCAGGGGTCTAGAAAAATAGATCTTGTGACGTCATCAAGGGGGCTAGGTCCAAATTTTTTACTTCAGAAGATGTCAAATTGATGGGAGAAAAGGTACTGAAAGTTTCGCCTTTCTATCCCTAAGCGTTCGGGAGTTATCGCAAATATTCGCCAGGGGGGGGGGGGCGAAAAACGCCCCCCGGGCCCGCGAGGGTTAAAGGGACCCTCCCACCTTCAAAAAAGTTAATGAATTGGCATGAAAGTGATGTCCCTTGGTTCAGAAAGGGCGAAAACGAATATCTACCAAATTTCACCGAAAAATATTCACTGGTTTTCAAGATATTAGGCTTTTACTTTTGTTTACTATTTGGGATCTCCCCTGTTACTAGCGACTTTATTTGGAAGCAATAATTTGGCAGCCTTAAAGTGCGGCAGACGTTGCGCGCAAAGCAGCGTATACCACCACGTGTTAACGATGGTTTTAGTCTAAGATTTAAAAATCGTTAGGTCTCCGCTGACGTCACAAATTCTAAGGGGGCATTCCAATGCATTAGCCCCTTAGAATCCGAAAACTGCAAGTTTGAAATTCCATATCTTCGAATTAAAGCATTTTTCGATGTTGTGAGTGCCCAAACCGGTATTTGCAGGCCATGGCCACCAATTTGGCTATCTCAACTCAAAACTAATGTTAAGGTGGGAGTGTCCCTTTAACGCGTGTCGCGTCTCAAATATAGCGACACGTGAATGTGTGACACGTATAGAAAGGGAGTAAACTCTCCAAGAAAGTGCTGATACTGCCCCTCAATAACGGATCGACCCTCTGGTATGGGTCGTTCATCAGGATTCAGGTGGTCCCCCTCCATGAATTGGCCACCAGGCACCAACATTAAAATGTGACAGTTGATCATTTCTTATTATTTCATTCTGCTATATGTTGGTGACCATAAATCATAATACCTTAATTGTTATTTGTTTTTGTTAAATATGCAGGTTTCCTCTCTTCACTCTTGCATACTGAATTTTGACCTTGCATTTAAATGGGTTAGTCGAGATCGTATGACAAGAACAGATACCTATCAGAAATCGCTACCTCGAACTACGAATGTCGGTCTCCCAATTAACTAGCCAATAAATAGACCTCCATATACCGCTATATGCGGCATACAAAGGTCTATGCTACATTGCTACAACATTTACAATACAACTCTCCTTGCAACTCGGCGGGGTGAATTGTGCACTGTGATCTGTAGTCACTGCTGACGTGTGATTTTGATAGTTTGCTATGTGTAACGCCTGGCAAGTGTGGCTAATGTGGGAAGACGTGACCTTTACAATGCTTTTTGCTTTAGCTTATTGAACGTTGGTGTGCTTGCTTCATCGCATTTGCATTTGAGAGAAACATAGGTCAGTTACATGCCTTTGACACCTACTTTACCATTTTCGAAGCATTCTTAACACTTCCGTCTCTTATTGAATTTGTCTTATTGAATTCAGTCAAACAAAGTTACATGCATAACGTCCGAAACCAACTTTATTCGCAATCAGGGGACCAACAGCCACTCAACCATGCCTCTTCCTCGTGCAGACAGTGTACCCACGTGTGTGCCAGACTGGTCCCACTTTAGGAGAGCGGGCAACAATGAACATTGCTAACATTGATTCGAAACCGCGCAATGCCCGTATTGTTCTAGGCGGAGACTGCATCCCTCGTCTGTGTGTTTGACGGTTGGGCTCTGTTGGCAGGGCGCTGGCGATAGTTTTGTGCGCCCTGACTGTTGTTGCCGACCCGGTGAGTACCTGGCTAATGGCCACACACAATCGAGTATAACTTTGAACTGGTTTATATTGTTTGGTTATTCAACATAGCCTGAAGGCTATGTTTGAAGGAACATGACCTTTTGTGAAAATATGACTTTTTGCCTCGCCAATATGCTAACATTAGGTATTTTCGTAGTTCACAAATTTTGATTTCGTGGGATGATCCAATTGCTACCGTTTATTTATTTATTTGTCCCCACTGCAGGGGGTGATCTACTTCCCAGCCGATCTCTCATCCCCGATCGTCTCCGCTGAACCCCCGCGGCCTGCAGCGCGGCCAACTGACAAACACAGCACGTCCCGGCGGCCGGGCGGGCGGTGTTCCAGGCCGACCCCGAGCTGGCCGAGCCGGGGCGGGGGCGGCTGTGAGTCAGGCTGGCGTCCGTCCAGTGCCGCCGCCGCCGCCGAGCTGTTGACATTGCGGACTTCTCGCCGTCCTCCGGCCGCCCCCGCCCCCGCCCCCGCCCCCGCCCCCGCCCCCGCCCCCGCTGCGCCGTCTGGGGCTGGTGTTGGTGCAGCTGCACAGAGAGCACGGCGGCCCCATCCGGTCCCGTCCGGCCCGCTGTCCGCAGCGCGTTCCGTCAGTCCTCTGCAGTCACATCCACACAGTACAGCCTCAGACACACTGCGGGGACGGCAGTCCGGTCTCAGACACACTGCGGGGACGGGCAGTCGGTCACAGTTCGGTCTTTGACACGCCGCGAGCAGGACCGTCTGCCTGGCCTCAAGAATGCTACAGCTCGTGTACCTAAAGTCACTCATTGCAGCGTCTCGCTAAAAGTCTGTTCATTACAGTCCGTCAACCCGAAGTCAGTTTCAGTACAGTTGGTGTGCGCTGAGTCAGTTACATGTCAGCCCGTCTGCTCTGAGCCAGTTACGTTACTGTCCTGTTTGTTCAGTCTCGCCAGTCACTCTTCAAAGTCGTCATCCTAAGTAACCGAGGCGCGCCTCACGATCGTCCGTGACCGCCGGAGAGCCGCCTGTGACCGCAAGGCCTCTGGCGCCGGCCAGCGGACCCACGCGGCATCTCGGGCAGGTCCGGTTCACTCTGTGACCCGGGCTATCGCCCTCGGGCGGCCGAGGCACGTGCCGCAGGGCCGCCGCGCCGCCGCCGCGCCGCTCCACTCTCAGCTGGTCGGCGCTCGGTGACGAAATCGCCCGGTCTCGGCCGGTATAGCGGCACGCCCGGTGCAGTGTGTGGCGTGTGGCTATCCATCTCCCTCTCACGGCCGGTGACCGAGGCGGGGTCACTGCCCCCCCCCCCCCCCCGCGGCACCAGCCAGGTCGCTCAGAGGGTACAGCTGCTCCGTTAGGTCACCGACGGAGCGGGACGGATGTGTCTGCGGCTAGCCCGCCGCCAGCTGGACCCGCCGCCCCCTCCTCCGCTCGCGGTGCCCCCGCCCCCGCTCGCCGCCCCCGCCGCTGCAGGCGGAGTGTTGCACAGCTGCGTGAGTTCACGACAAAGTCGCATATTGTGCGGACCGGGCCCGGATCTCTGTCCCTTCCTCTGTATGAAATACTGACGTCAACATTGGTCTCGGTCGAATCTGGATTCGCTCTGTGGTGGATAGAAGCGCTCCTTGTTGACTCGGAGCTGAAGATTTGCTCTTGCCTTCTAAATGCCCATACCGTCATCCCTATGTTGATGTGTTTGACTTCTGGCTTCGATTTGTGTTATTTAGCGTCGTATGAAACACGAGAATTACGGCAAATCCTTGGCTACACTACCTTAGCAACTAGCAAAGAGCAAAGGTAAAGTAAAGAGTAGCACAGAGTTAGGTACTCTGCTCTTATCATTCATGATCAACTGATAGGCATGAATGTAAACGTTGCAGTCTTGATGTTATCTCGGCTCGTTGCTATACATACTCTGTATGCGTTCCCGATGTGTACTGTCTCGAGGTTGTCAGCGTAACGGTCGTAAAAAGCAACAGACTGATCACAATGCAAACATGCACATCGGCTCAACGGCAGTCTCAAACAAGCGTTTGCGTGGATGGCGTCCTGTGCCAGCTCGAAAAATCTTCAAATTTTATGATAAGACGATTTGTTCATGGTATGTGTGGCGCAGATAAGGCTCATTCAGTCTGAACGGCGCCGATATGGGCACTCAGAGACGGCGGCTCCGATAGTGGCGCAGATAGACGGGCCTGTCGATATGGCGAACGCCGATTTTCTGAAGAGTGCGTTAGCGGAGGCCCATGAATTGTGTGTTCTACTGCCTTATTTTGATGGTCATTGACCGGGATAACGCTCAAGTTTCCTGATCGCCAAATCGACTGCCGCTGACGGCCCAATCTGAGGCTACAATCGGCTCAACTGTTTGTGAATGGCTTGGCAACAAGCCTGCACCGCTCTATCACTGTGCCATTACGGAACGTGGCGGCAGAGTGACATGTCGCCAATCGACGGCGCTACAAGCTCGGAGACAGACGACTGACGGGGTGAAACATAACGGCCGATCCGTCAGGGAGAACCAACAGCGCTGTCAGACTCCACAGAGCTGTCAGCTGGATTCCCGAAGTGACAGGCCACTCTCTAGTTTCCCACGTGGAGGATAGGCCGGCCGACGCACTGGGGCACCGCCCGTCCCCTCCCCCTCCGTCGAGGCGCGGCCCACTATTTCGGGGCGGGCTGCGCGCAGTCCGTCGGTCGCGGGTGGTCGCCGCTCCTCAGAGGCGCTCTCAGTTCAAACGTATATCTGCGGCGCTGTATGTGGGTCAGCGGGCGGCCGAGCGGCGCGTTTCGTCGGCCGGGGCGCTGAGTTCCGGATACCGCGGGGGCGGGGGCGGCCGGCAGATGCCCCCAGGTCGGCCGGGACGCTGGCGCCGGCGCTCATGACGCGATGGTCGGTCGCGGCCGCCAGCGAACACGGCCGGCTGTTTACACGGTCCGACATCCGACTCCGGCCCGGTGCAGGCTGCACAGAGTTCTCAGACGCCGCCCCCGCCCCCGCCCCCGCCGCCGCCGCCGCCGCCAGTGCACCAGACCGTCCCACACCAGCCGAGCAGGATGGTCTCAGACTCGCTGAAGGCGCCCAGCCGTGCCGTATTGTGCAACGGAACCAATCATTGGTTATGGAAGTGATGAATAATTAATTTGCGGGCGTCTATGCACTCCTTGCTTCACCCGTAGATCACAGATGAACTCGCTCACTCGCTGCACTGGCTTGCTTATTAGCAAGCTGCCCGTTGCTGTTGATTTCTAAGTCTACATTATTTTACTTGGTACCCTATCTGCTTATCTTGTCTATAGCCATTACCTCATATCTACCTGTCATTCTATTAATAGTGAAGGCTAAACCACAAATCGTAAATCAAACCCCAGTCGCCGGAACCCTGACAAAAAGCGCCACCATGTTTATCTTGATAATTGCGCTTTTTGTGGTCCGGAAACACGGCACATTTGACGCCGGTGGTCTGCGGCACGCGTCGCCGTTTTTACCCGCATCGGCCGTGCAGGCAAACATTGGCAAACACCGCGCACCAATGGGCTGTCGCTGCTGAGAGGAGCGTGCGTGTGCGTGTGTGTGCGTGTGCCACGGCGCGTGAGGGACGAGCAGCGGCCGGCGGGCGGAGAATGTCGCCCGTTGAGACAGAGCACGGTGGTTGAAAAGAAGCAGAGAATATCGCCCTATGAGACAGGGCACGGCGGGTGAAAAGAATCAGTGGTCACGAGTACGACGGCCGGCCGGAGGGCTATGGAACCCGTGACAGCGTCTCACATCACCCCTCCCTGGGTGTCAGTGCCTTCTGACCGAGGCCGCTGCAGATCTCTGAGTGGCGGCAGCCGCGGTCTTGGCAGAGGTCCCCGTCTCAGCTGAACAAATCCTCCGGCATCCGGCGGCCGGTTTCCGGTCGTTCTGAGACCTTCGCGTGCATGTTGCTCGTGCTGGTATGGCAGGCCTACACGGTCTTCACAGCGGCCTACAGACTTCGTGGCGGCCCGGACTTCGTGACTCTCATGTCCCCTGCAGTAGCCGAGGCTCATGTTTGCCTCACAGAGTCCCACACGGAGCCGTCTTTACTGCCGCCGACTGCCTGCTGTTTATTTTCGCTGCACATTTCGGTTCTACTGAAATTGTTTTTCTATGGCTGGATGACGATATTGGCTTGCGATTTGTATGCGCTGGTATCGTTTTTCATTTAGCCATTAAGCTGGTTCAAAACAATAAATCTAGTGTAAGACCGGTGTGTGCACTGACAAATTACGCTATTGAAAATAAAGCACAGTGCCGTGCGATCCGTGGCCCGCCTCGCTGTCAGTCCATTCTACAGTCTGTGCTTCACCCGTTGTAGGGCTGCAGCCTCGCTGTGTGTCCTCTCGGACGTCCACTGTACCCGGTCACTTAGCGAGCCGTTCTGTGTCACTTGCGGCGCAGTTGGTCGGCTGTCCGAGTCTGCTCGTGACAAGGTCAGATGAGATCACCGCCTGAAGAAGCAGACGGCTGCCGCCTGCTGCTGCTGCCTCCGTCCAGGCGGCAGCCCTGCCCGCCCGCCGCGGCGGCACGGCAGACCGCGCGCGGTCATACATTGGCCGATTGCCGAGTGGGTGTTCAGCGTTGCACTCGTAGGATAGGCTGGGCTGGTCACTGCGATCCGCCTGGTCTCAGCAGTGAGAAGTGACCAACGGCTTCGAGCTTTGTGGGCTGTAGGATGAACCTCCAAACTAAGGCTGTCATCCATTCACTTTTCACACATTGCGCTAGACCGTTCCTAAAGGCTTCATCTGTAGGTTCCGAGCTAACGACCGCCGTTTCCAAACCGAGGCCAGCGCTCCAGGGCCGTGCCAGCGACTGAATCAACAAGCTCACCCGTTTGGTTGGCCCGCCCGCGCTGGTAACCTAGGGTGGAGAAAATACGGCCAACTTCCGTTTACTGAGCAACGGCAGGTGTGCTTATTTTGAAAGGTCAACCAATGAAGAATAAGGCATGTGCCGGCCAGCGTTTGATTGTCCATTGAATAATTTGC